CTTGTTTGCATTGCAACGGCAGCTGTTGTCAATAATAAATTTCCGTTAGAGCTGCAGCAGATTTGCAGGAAAGAAAAAAAAAAGAAAACAGTTGGCTGTTGACTGGAGCCTGAGGCAGGGGAGACGTGAGGTAAAGCTGAATCCAGTTAGAAGCAAAGACACATCGTGAGAGAGAGGGAGAGGCAGAGTGAGTGAGAGAGAGAGAGAGAGAGAGAGAGAGAGACGCAGGCAAATAGCGCAAAGGAAGGAAGGAAGCGCATAAGCGCATTGCACGGCATGCCAAAGACATTGGCAGAGAAGGAGACCGAGAGGGCGAGAGTGGAAGAGAGGGAGAGCGGGAGAGCGGGATAGAGGTGGCGACCGACAGCTTCTGTTGGGGACTGAGAGACGCGCGGGCAACGCTGCAGCACGACACTAAAAAGATGACATAAAGATAGAACGGAGCGGGTGATGAAATTGAATAGGGGGCAACTCTGGCAATGCTGGCATGCAAAAACGATGCGACTTTCTTGCTGCTCTTGCTGCTGCAATTTCTTCCCTCTCTTCCTATTCCTCTTCCTCTTCCTCATCGACTCCCTGTGATTGCTGCTGCCGGCCATGGCGCTGATATAAAGTAGAAGGCGCGGGCTGAACGGCGACAGCGTCTCGAAGACGGGCAAACGGGCTCAGCGGGCGGCACGTTGATAAATTTATTGAAATTCTATTGAAACGAAACGATTTGACTGCGCCAAGCTGTAAAAGGCATGCAAGTGGCTAGGGTTGGAAGCAGCGGGTGTAGAGGGGGGGAGGGTTGGCTCGGTGGTAAAGTGAAGTGTAAGCTACTGAGGGGGGCAAACAAATCGCTGATAAAGTGGAAAATAAGCGCGAGAAAATCAAGTAAAAGTGTTCTAGTCGGTAGTGCCCGGCTTGGAGACACCCTGTAACCGAACGTAGTATACTCTGTGCTTCTTCTTCACGTTGCCCCACACTCTGTACAGGAAATGCATTCTTGATTAACACAAGCAGCCAGCCAATTTGCAGGCAGCAAATAATGAGCGACGAATAAATTCCCTGTAAACAGCTTGAGAGTTAAGCACGACTCAAGTATATACATATGTATGTATATATGTATGTGCTGTCAAGTATAGACTCGGCTACAGCTATGCTACCCTCTCTGGGTGAATGCCCTCGACCAACTGCAATTTCTGCAAATCACTTGCAAACTGTGAATTAAATCAAACAGCTCGCACTTAACTTGAACTTAAAGAGAAAAGGTGAACAGAAAATGTAACTAGACCTAGAAAAAACAATGTCTTGTGGCAATTAAAGTTTAGCCATATTTTCGGGTCAATGTAGGAATTTTCGGCTAAAGAAAATGGAACCCCGAACCCAGGACTCAGGACCCTGAACCCTGAGAGAAGGAATGCACTTAATTTTTAATTTTTCATAGTCAAATTTATCTGTTGTGTTGTTGGGCTTCTTTTTTTTTGCGTGGTGCTTTGACTTTCAGCCGGACGATGCTCAATTTAACCTCGGCAACAACAAAAACAACAACAACAAAAGGGAGGCCAGTCTCTGCTCGACTGCTCCACTGCTTCTCAGCTGCTTATTTCTCACATTACCCACTCTCTATCTCTGCTTTAGCATGTAGCATGCTTTAGAGCTGCAGATAAAGCTAAGCAAAAGAAACAGAAAAGAGCCGAAGAAAAGCACACAAGCAAGAACAGCTATTTTCGGCACGCCGCAGATTAAATGCTCTTTTTTACATGTTGCTTGTGGTGCTGCTGTCAAGTGTGGTGAATAGTGAATATCGTAATTGTTGAGTTTGGTCAGGCTATCAGGCTATATCGACTTTGCTGATCAGACTGTTCAAGAATATATATACTATATAGCATTAGGGATGTCATTTTCTGGGTGTTACAGATTTTATGGCAAAATCACAATACACACAATCACGAGAGTATAAAAAGGCGAAATTTTAATTTGTGCTCAGTGGCCGATGTTGTTGCTGTTTCTTGTCTGTTTCTAGCTCTTATTGTAGCTATTGTTGTTGTTGTTGTAGGTGTTGTTGTTGTTGCTGTTGCGCCATGCAGAAATTGCTACCCAATTACGTAATGAAATCTGACTGAAGTTGCTCTCTTATTATTTAATTTTTGTCTTCTCTACGCTTCTGTCTTCTTTTTTTATTTTTCGTTGTATCACGTCTTGGGGTGGGTGGATTAGTGCGGGGGGGAAAGAGAGGGGCGGCAAACGATGCCCGCCTGGCGCTTATTAAGAAATAATGCTGTAAAAACAAAACGCAACGGCGTCAAATCAACTTTGTATTTTGCTATGAGCAAAATTTGAAGATAAAACACAAAATTAAATGTGGCCACAGCGAGTCAGCTCGACGGAGCCATACCCTGTTGCTGGCTGGAGCGAGGCAACGGGAATAGAACGTATGAGCAAATTTGCAACAAATGAAATAACTTTCTCAATGTTCTGCCGTGTTCAGATGTGACCATGAAAGATATATTAGGATAAAAGTAAGCATAAGTTGATGTTAAAATCAAAAGCCAGTCGATCTTCTTTATGCATATGCAAATTTACAGGGTATTGCATATAACTACAAAATGGCAAGCAAGCAGAGCAAAGCGAGCAGTTGAAAATTTGGGAGGGCTGGTGGGGAGAGGGCATTATATGCGGGGCGTAAGAAGTGCCCCGGGGTGCATTGCTGAAGCCAGCCAGAGAACTGTTCTGATTCTCTTTATCTGTATGTGTGTTCGTTTATATGTGTGTGCGTGTGCAAGAGTTCTTAAGAGTTCTTTTTGGGCACAATTGGTGCCTGGACTGATCAAATTACCAACAGCAGAGCGTTTCCACCTACACGTCAACGCACACACACACATATTCATATACAAATATATATATATATATATATATATATATATGTATGTATTTTATGTGTATATGTATGTTTACGGTATATGCTTATGTAAATGCGTATTTGTACAGTGAAAAGCTGCTTTGGCGCGACAGCTGTAAAGCGGCAAAGCCTTAGTCACAGAACTCGATGAGGGCGAGCAGGTGGACCGGAGCGCCGGATGGCAGCTGGGGCCGTTGGCGCCCACGGCCGTTGAGTGAGTGAATTTTTGTTGGCAATTTATGAATCGACGAATTAAATTATGCGTGCAGTACATTACCAGGCAACAACAACAAGCACACTGAGAGGCGAGCGCGAGGCCTGCGAGATAAGAACAGACGGGGGAATAGACGGGAGGGAAACAGGGGCGAAGACGCTGCCAAACGGATGGTGAACGAAATGATGCGTAAAACGAGCCAAGCAACAGATAACGATGAAAGCAAAGGGAACCAAAAATGAACAAATACAAAAACAACAACTGGAAAGAACACACACACACACACACACACATTGATTTCCACACAAATCCTGGGCACAAAATTAGACCATCGCCAATAAAAAATCGGCAAATTAAATTTAATTCCCACAAACTTACATTAAGAAACGCTGTAAAAATGAACCAGTCGGAACTAAAGCGCTGCGAATTGTTGCGTTGCTCATCAAGCTTTTGTTAGCGTAACTAGCGTAACTAATTAGTGCTTATTGCTATTAAGCTTTTTATTAAATTAAACTAAAATATAAGTATTACAATCAATATGTTCCCCCTTATCTTCTGATTGTTGTCTACAGCAAGCCGATCACACGTAAGAAAATGAACCACACATAATTGTTGGTTCAATTGCATCGAAATCGAGTCACACGCTAGTTCAGTTCATAAAATGAACCGCATCCGTTGTCTCAACTAGTTCACAAAGGAAACAATTCTGTTTCAGCTATTTGAAAACTGTTTGCTTTAAGCTTTAAACATTTTGCAGCACTGTTTTGGGAAATCACGCATACGCAGCATGCGCCACAGCCACAAGTTGAGGTGCTTGAGGTGCTTTGAGGAGCTTCTGTACTCGAGTGCTTTAGTATTCAGTATTCCGCAGGCTCATTATAAACACTCAAAACGTTTACATTTTCATTGTCTGCATTTGTCAGAAGAGGGAAAACAAAAGGAAAATAAATAAAAAATGAAAATAAATAAAATATAAGAAAAGAAACCAAACGAAAATTATATGAATTTTGTGTTTATGCAATGGCCAATTCACAGTGCAATCTCTCCCAAGTGTGCCTGTGTGTGCCTGTGTGTGTGTGTGTGTGTGGCAGGCAATAATCATAAAAACCGCCAAAACGTTTTTCCTTCCTGCCAAAAGTGGCTGCCGCTTGCCGCACAAATATTGCGGCAATAATACATTCCAAGCGCCGGCAGCCCAGCCACCGAGTGCCACAGCCCCGTCGCCTGCCTGCCAGCTGCCCCTGCCCCTGCACCTGCCCTTTCCCCAATTCACTCTGCCTCGCATTTGAAACTCAAACACTGAATCAGTTGCTGATTGCGGCGGCTGCTGGCAGCAACTCATGAGCCGCAGCGGCAGCGGCAGCGGCAACAGAAGCAGATCCTTGGTTTGAGCTTGCGATTATTTTGCCATTATTTTCCATTATTTTACTTTATTTTACTTTATTTCAATGACTGTTTACATTAGGCACACACATGCGAGCACAAAGACACACACAAGCACTGCAGCAAAAAGTGCTGCATACTTCTAAGCGCGCGCGAGCTGCTGCCAGGTTCTCTGCATATACATATATGTATGTGTGTAACTGTGTGTTGGTGTGTGTGTGTGTGTGTGTTTGCGTGTTTTGTGTTTGTGTGGCACTTTACTTAGCTTATTGAACTGGGCAGACAGTGGAGCAACTACAACAACAACAACAACAATCGCAGTCGTTTCTTTGATTTCGTAATACATTTGCTTGGGGCAAAAGGAAAAAAACCTTTTTTGCTCCGACCCTCTGGGGCCCCCACACACACACACACACACACACACACTTGAGAATTGAGTACTTGGTATGCATTGTAAAGTTTTGCTTGCTTTGACTGCTCACTAATGCCGTCTTTTACGCTCTCTCTCTCTCATTTCAGGCCGAGATCTGGAGCGTGTTTATTGCGATTCTGCGAAAGAGCGTTCGCAATCTTCAGGCCTGCACAGATGTGGGACTTATCGAGCATGTCCTGGTGCGTCTGCAGCGCTCCGAGACTGTTGTGGCAGGTAAGTCAAATAAATACACGCACACACACACACACACACACACACACGTGCACACTCACTTACGCACACAGATTTTCTCAACTAAAGCGTGGCACCTGACAAAGCCCTTTTATTTTTATTTCAAAGCTCAGAATACCTTGTCCTAAATATGAAAGTCTTTCTGCTCACTAGCTGGCTGATTGATTGACTGATAGACTGACTGATTGGTGCACATTTCAAACCTTAGACTGAGTTTGAAAATAGTTTCTATTTTTGACAACAAACAAGTTAGCTGTTGCCAAAGATATTTTTTCTTTTGTTTTGTTCTTCATATTGCCTTTTTTTTTTTTTTTTGAGCCATGCCGCTGCATTTTTATTTCACAGCCCCATTTGAAATTTTTCTATGAAAATCTTGTGGAAAAATCCGCACACAAGTGCCAAAAAATTGATGGTGGAAACCTGCTGCTGCAACATGTTTTTTTTGCTTTTCTTTTTATCACAGCGGGTTTTGGTAAAAACTTTCAAATATCCATGTGAAAATTCTTTGGAAACGTATTTCACGCGTTTTAGTTAATCGCTTACATGGATGGAAAATGCGGCTGCAAATTTTTAACGATGAAATTTAAACTTAGTTCGTTCAACTTGAGCAGGCTGCAAATAGGGTTTGAACCGAACTGGTTCGAACTCCGATTTCAAATTTAATTTGAAGCATAAGCTGTAATTTTAACCAAGTCTATTAACCTTGTCAAAGGCAGGAAGCTGGTTCAAGCAAATTTTAATATCTACCGCAAGTATTAGACGTAGCTGCAAATTGGTTCAAACTCGAATTTCAAATTAAAATTTAATGCGTTAAGCAAAGAAGTTGCCCAAGAAAACAGTCTCAAAACCCAAATACCTTTGTATAGAAAATACCTTGTATAAAAAGAAGCATATTTTGAATTGCCAAAACTGAAGGAATATTGTACGCCTATGAGTTAGACAAGCTGCAAAAAGGCTTTGAATCGAACTGGTTCGAATTTCGTATTCAACTTTAAGCAAAAGCTGAATCCCTAAGCAAACTCTTTGTCCAAGAAAACAGACCCGAAACATAAATATAACATATCTAGTAGCTGCGCCCCAAAGGCAGGAAGGAAGCTGGTTCGAACCGTGCACCGAACAACAACATAAGTCTCAGCAAACAAGAAGAAGTCTGAAGGAATTTAGTAGATGAAAATAAGACTTCCCCAAGCAGATAAAAGTGACCGAAGATGAGAAGTGGCCCGGCGTGAAATGCGAATCACTAGAAATTGAGATATGTGAGGAGGGCAAAAGTAACCGAAGTGACCGACACAGCCAAAGAAATGGAGGTCAAATGGTGGAGGGCAGCTAGAAAAATGAAGTTGGATGAAAATAAATGCAAAATGTACAATTGGGCTCCAACAGAGCTGTGCTCGATGGAGCTTCGCTTTGGCAATGAATCAGCTGGACTTGCGCTAGTTCAACCACACTCACACACACACAGCGTGTGTGCGTGTGTGTGTGTGGCATGCTACTTTGTGATTCGTGCCATGTGGCATGTGTCCAAAAAATAAAGAAGTCGAATTGCCGCGTCGCATTGCGCCGCGTCGCGTCGCGTCGACTCGCCCGCCGAATTGCTTTTCGATTAATTTCACGCTTGTCAGCGGCCGTGATACGCCCAGTGGTCCGCACCGGCAGCATTCCCGCTTCGGGCCAGCCAGCGGGCTGCTGCTGCTGCTGCCATGTTAGACACGCCCACACCGCCCCTCATGTATGCCAAGCATTCGTTTCGCATGTCGCCCCCTCACTCTCTCTCTCTCTCTCTATCTCTCCCTCCCATCAGGCGTCTCCAACAACAACAACAACAACAACAAACAACGCAGCAAATTTTCTCTTCATTAGTGAACAGCCGACTGGCACTTCTCCCACTACCACGCCCACGCCCACACACACACACACACACACACACACACACACACACACAGACAGACAGACAGACAGGCCCCGCAATGGTCACCCCCGCACCCCTATTTAACTGCCAGAAGCGTGTGCGTGCCTTTGGCTTTGATTTTGATTTTATTAAGTCAATGACACATCTGCGGTCTGGCAACCCCGTCTGTCGGGCCTTGCCAGACCCCATACCCCCCCCCCCCCTAAATCCCAACCAGGCAGTCAGCATTTTGCACCCCTATCTACGACTCTCTCCAGGACCCTTCACCCCCTCTCCAGTTGGTATTTAACGAACTGTAACTGCTGTCAATTTGCAGTCGCTGACTTTTGAGCCTTGGCGTTCAAGCCATAATTTCATACATGTGTGTCTCTCTCTCTCTCTGTGTGTGTGTGTGTGTGAGTGTGAGTGCGTGTTACCTGACAAATGTCGAAACGTGACACTTGCCAAGAAATTAGATAAGCTAAAAGTTGTCTGTGTCTGTGTGGATGTGTGTGGGTGTGTGTGTGTGTGCGGTAGACAGATGGAAACTGCGTTCCGGCTGTCTCTTCTTCTTGCAATAACACAGCAACAACAACAACAACAACAGCAACAGCAACAAAAACACTTGAGCACCTTTATGAGTTTCTTGTTTTGTTTCAACTGTAGCTAAAACTATCCTAAATTTGGGCAGAAATTCGCGGCGCTTTCTTAAGCAATTAAATTAAAATTTTTAACTTAATTTTGGAATATTACAGTTACGAATAGTTAAATTGAAAATTAACTATTATATTTATTTAATTAGACGGCTTTGCTCGGACCTAGATATTTGTCCGAATTTGAAACAAAACTCTCAGCCCTTGGGAGTGGATCTACGCAATACGTGAATTAGATTTCCACTAACATTTTATGCACATTTTTGAAAAGGAGCTTCAAGTTTTCATTTGTTTGATGATAAAGTTAATGGGAAAAAGCATTGAGGCACCGCGAATCCATGCGCCATTTCGAAAAGTGTGAAAGTCGCCAATGAATTTTCAAAAAGATCTGGTCAAATGAGCTGATAGCTTATCAGCTGCTTATCTAAAAAGCTTAACTGATTTTCTACAATTTTCCAAAATTGCTTGGAGTGCATATTAAATGTAAATGAAACATTTTACAAGATTTATAATTACGAGGTATGCTCGAAAGGCCAGGACTGAAAACTTGGCAAAGTGCACTTTATTCGACTTCGCATTTACCGATAATTTTAAATATAGTTAAACTCAAATCGAGACACTAGAAATCTAGCCGAATTTTCTGAAATATTCAATCTGCCTAGCTTCAGACAAAACTCGTTGCAGTTAGCCGGAAAATTGGGCTCTGTGTAAAATTATGATTTAAGAACTTCTTCACAAAGGTTGTCAGTTTTCTGTTGTCTTTTTTTTTTTTATAATTTTATTAATGCACTTTTGTTTTTTGCGTGTTTAAATTTGTTTCACATGTGGCTTTTTTGCTTGTTGAAACTATCTCGAAATTTTGCTTGACGAAAGTTTTTCTTATTGCTGTTGATTTGGATTTGGAAGAAAAAGAGAAGCAGAAGCTGGAAATAAGTGTATCGTTGGGGCTTTCGGGGCCCAGGACATAAAAAGCTGACAAGTTCTCGCACTTTGGCTTTTTTATGAGCTGCGGAAGATGCCAAGATATGCAAAAGGCAGTTAAACTTTGACAGAGTGGCGGTCGCCGAGGGAGGAACAGTCAGACAGACAGACAGACAGACAGACAGGCAGAGAGACAGAGAGACAGATTGTCGGACAGACATCTGAATGGTTGGATAGACACATGAAGAGCTGGAGGACTCCGACTCCGACTCCGACACCGACTCGGGCTGATGGCATTGTCATTGCGCTTGAAGCTATTGCAACAGACGTTGGATGAAGATTCCACAAGGAGCTCACAGCTCTCCCGGAGCGTGGGCCAAAAATGTGTGTAATTAAAAGCTGATGCCGGAGGCAGAGGCGTCGAAGTTACGGCCAGCGTCAACTTGAGGCCAATGTAGCAACATTGTCGTCCTGGGACAGACGCTACGGCTGGGCGCCACGCGCTCGGCTGCCAGTTGAAGCCCGGGAGGGGGTGCGGGCTTGGATGTTACTCAATTTCTTAATTTACGCCAACCGAAACGTGTTGATGGAGGCGCAACTGGAAACTGTGCTACGGCGGTATGCTACGGAGCAGACAGCTGCCAATGCTGGCAGAGCGGCAGCTCCTTTGGGTCCTGTGGCCCCGGCAACAGTCCAGGCATTAAAACGGCCCGTGCGTTCCATTTCAATTAGTGTGCATTACAAATGAAGTTTGGGAATAGCAGCCGAGCAGGCAAGGCGCAGCAGGCTGCGGCTTGAGGCCGGCAGGCGGCCAGGCGGCCAGGCGGGCATGCGACAAGGTGAACGTTGACAAAACGTGCCAGTCTGGCAACGCCACACAATGCAATTTGAAAGCCAACTGGCAGCACGTGTGCTGCCACACTCAATCGATTTTTTGAGACTTTTATGCCAAATTCAATGACAGTTCGAATTCAATTTCCAGCTCGTTTCACGCCCTGACCTTGTTGGGGATGTGCCAGTGCCACGCCTACCAGCGCCCATTGCCAGATATTGCCTGATGTTGTGCCGTAAGAGCACAACATTGCCGCTTCGCTGCATGCGCTACTTTTTTTCCTCTTTATGTTTCCATGCTGTCTGCACTTGAAAGTTCGGCTGAATCGGTTCGAAGGCTAGCTGAAAATCAATCTAAAAGCTTTGCCCCAGCAGCTAGTTTGGCTTTTAGAAAATGCGCTTTCACAGCTATTTGTGCTTAGTCAACTGATTCAATGTGCTTTTAACTTAAGTAGAGCTTTCAAAAGCTTTTCCTGTTTTTGTTATTCTGCTTACTTTTGATTCAATATTTATATCAAAGACACCTATTTCCGCTTAGTCAATTGATATAATAACTTTTAACTGATGTAAAGCTTTCAAAAGCTTTTCCAGTTCAATGTTGTTCTGCTTGCTCTTGCTGCTTAGGCAATTGATTTAATGTGCTTTTAATGTAAGTATATAAAAGACAGCTTTGTCTTCTCGAATGGGCGTTTAACGAAACTAAAGCTTTCATAGGCTATCATAAGCTTTCAAGAGCTTTTTATTTTTTTTGCTGTACTGCTTTGCCTTGATTCAAAATACATCTTACTAGTTAAAACTTTATAAATTTACTGAATACATAAAAATTAAACTTGAATCTTTCATATGCTTTAAATATTTTTATATTTCTGTTACGGCGCTTATGCTTTATATGGCCAACAGCTTGCAGCTGTTTTAAAGCTTTCATGAGCTTGAAATAGTTATTTATCAGAGAATAAGCAGACAAATTGAGCTTAAGATGTGCTTTAAAGCTTTTGAAATAGTTACTCAGCTTTAGAAGAGCGCTAATTCTATTACTTGCTGCATTTAATATGGCCTTTAAGGATTAAATCTTGAATCTGAAATATAATATATGTCAGCTCAGTGTAGATCGTTTATAACAGCATTTAGATTGTTGCAGCTGGCGTGAGTTCGCGAGCCTTGCAACATTTTTCATAAACCCTTCAACATGCCACTCACACACACACACACACACGCACATACGCTCGTACTATATGCAACTCACTCTCTCACTCTCGTCTGCCATTACAGATCTGCTCATCGAGATGCTGGGCGTATTGGCCAGCTATAGCATAACCGTTAAGGAGCTGAAACTTCTATTTGGCACGATGAAGGCCAACAATGGCAAATGGCCGCGTCACTCGGCCAAATTGTTGAATGTGCTGCGACAAATGCCCCATCGCAACGGGCCCGATGTGTTCTTCAGTTTTCCCGGCCGCAAGGGATCGGTAAGTCAATATCCAATGACAATAAACAACAACAATAACTGATATTTTTTCTCCCCGATTTGCACAAGTTGCAGGTTGGCTTTAAGTGCACACACACACACGTACACGCACACACACACACACACACACACACACACACACACACACACACACACACACACACACACAAACACACACTTGCTGCCCCAACTACTACAACTGTGGCATTTATGGCTGAGGGGGGCTGGCGGGGGATTGGTTGCTTCTTGGGCTTTTATTTTATTGCGTCGCACTTAAATCGAATTCGAAATGTGCGTTGTCCATGTGGCATGTGGCATGTGACTGCTCTGCTGTCTCAGCTGATACAGCCCAACTCCCTCCCTATCCCCCCTAGGCAGCCCTATGGCTATCTGTCTATGGCATAAGCACATAAAAAGTGCCATAAAGCGAATTGGAAGTCAAATGCGACACGAAACGAAACGAAACGACACGAGATGAAATGAAATGAAATGAAATGAATCGAGAGCCTCGCCAAGCAATTGTCACAAAATGTTCAATAAACAGGACATGTTACTGCACACACCCCTCCCCGCCCAACCCCCCTCGCAGTTGCTCACTTGCTGCGTTTTCTATTTTGTTTGGTTCGTTTTTTTTTTTTTAGTTTTCATTTAGCGCACTTTTGGGCTTTAACACGGGATCGGGCTGCTGCTCGACCCTCGCTGAGACAAGATTCCAAGCCTCAAAGCTTATTGAAGAAACCTTCGCATTTCGTTGCACTAATGAGTTGCCCGGCCAGCTGCAGACAGCTCCGCGTGGCATGTGGCAGCGGCAAGCAAGCCAAGCCCTAGCCACGCCCACACGCCCACACTATGCCATTCTCTTTCGCTGACTTGACACAGAGAGGGAGAAAGAGGGAGAAGAAGAAATGGCGACAGGCACAGCTGCCAGACTTGGGGCAACAATGTTAAATCATGTGGCATGCCACACGCTCTGCCATTGTTGCACCGTGTTGCACAATTGAATGAGGCCTCAAGACAATGTCCGTTCGCCTCACATTCGCCACAGAAAACTCGTCTCCGCATATAAATGAATGCGAACTTTGTTGCCGGCTACCAAAAGCGAATAAATGTTAAATGAATATTATAGACCGAGTGACTGTATGCGTGTGTGTGCGTGTGTGTGTGCGTCTGTGTGTCCGATTCAATTGCAAATGAATGTTATGAATGCAAACGCAGGCGAGTGCTTTGCACGCATTCAAGCATTCAGTAAAGCGGCCGTTTTTTAAGTTTTTTTTGGTATTATTTTATTTTTAGTGGACTATTAAATGAATGTTAAAAATCCTTTTTGCTTTGCATGTGTTCAAATTGATGATTTTTTTTTTTCAAATGGCTGCAGCATTCAATAAATGCTTCAATTATTTATCAGCAAATATATACATATGTATATATATATAGTATATAGATTACGTGCAACAAATTGAAAGGTTCTCCTTTTTGCTGGCCCAATGAAAGCTGGCCTAAGCCAGCAAGCGCGTTCAGTTGAAATCAATTGGGTTTTTGCATTTGGACATAGCTTTTAGCAAATTCCTAAAATATTGAAATTCTGGCGAAATACGATCAAAGAAGACCTTATGTTAGCCCTAAACAGAGCCAGAGCCCAAAGCTGTTCCATTAACTCGAAGTATATTGAAGTATATTAAAACTTTGCTTTGAAAAGTGCACTGCATAGAAGCAGTGACAGCGTCAATACCATGAAGTATATATATTCCTGATCAGTATCAATATACGGGTGAATATAGCCAGGTCTGTCTGTCCGTCTGTCCACACAAGCCGCTCAGCCTTAAGGCTTACATATTTTTGGCTGCAGGCGGCGTGTTCATCGGCATCTGTCGGATCGAACTACTATATCATATAGCTTTCGTGGCATTTTGCTGTTTTTTATTTAGATATCTTGACAAAGCTCTATCATATAGCTCTATGGCAAGAAGAAGCGCTCAAGAAATGTTTTTCCTTGGAAAAATTTTCTGCTTTTAGAAAGAGTCTCAAAAAAAGTTCACAACTGCTTTTACAGTTCTGCTCGCATATCTGCAAAGCTGCAGCAAATCTTATTAATAATTATAATAATAATTAATTAATTAATATATCATATAGCAGCTAAAGAAATTATCAAATCATGGCGAGAGGGGAAGAGCAAGAGAAGGCAGACTTTAAGTGCGTTTGGTATTTTGTTTTGGTTTCCCATTCCGAAAGCAGCATGCATCTTCTTTGGCCTGAATATATTATATATTTTTATAATATATATACATTTAAATCAATCCCTCAATCTCACACACACACACACACACACACACTCCCGCCCATTCTCTCTCCTTTCTTCCGATTGTCAATTGCCAATTCATAAGCCAAATTTTAGGCAAAACATTTTCGAATTAACTTACTTCATTCGCATGCATTTTGCGAATGACCAAAATTTCCACAAAATACAAAATGCGAGATAAACAAAACGGATGCGAATTTGAGGCGTTGAGACAGTTGGGCGAAATGGGCGTGGCGCTCAGTTATACAAATATGATAAGAACATAAATTTGCGAGCATTAAAAGGGAAATAAATTTATGAACTAAAAGTCAACACGCAGTTGCAGTTAATAGTGTCTCTGTGTGTGTGTGTGTGTGTGTGTGTGTGTGTGTGTGTGTGTGAAAACTCTCCATCCGCCGTATTTGGCCGTAAAACCACAAAATGCATGATAAATCAAAATGTGCTCATTTCCTTTTAATTTTCACTTCAATTCTGCTCTCGGTGTCCGTCTCCGCATTTGCGGCTGCTTTTCGGCAGCATTTGCGAAGCCTTGCTCCGCTCTCTCTCAAACTTCCTCCATGCTCAAAGCTTCTTGAAAACTCTCGACTGCGGAATACTCTATTGCCAGCTCGAGGCCATGGGGCCAACGTCTTTCAATTGTGGGCGATGCGAAAATATTTCAACTCATGAGAAGTTTTCTGATCAAACGGCTGAGCCTGAAATTTGTGACTCCGAAAATGTTAGTCCGTAATTGTGATACTTTAGCTGCGACTGAAAAGTTTTTCACTCAAAAACTGTGACTCCAAAACTGTGAGTCCAAAATTTGGCTACTTTGTCTAACAAACGGGGACAAAAAAAAACGGACTCCAAAATTGTAGCATTCAAATTTGAAAATTCAGAGTGTGCAACAGAAATTCGAACTCCAAAACTTTAATTCCGAAATCGTGGAACTTCTGCTGTGACTGCAAAACTTTAGCTCAAAAATGCTGACTACAACTGGAACAATATAAGGCCTTTCAAATTTTGCGACTCTAAGACTATGTATTTCCGAAACCTTGAGTCCGAAATGGTGATACTTTAGCTGCGACTGCAAAGCTTTGACACACAAATTATGAATCCAAAACTGTAACCATCAGAGATGGCTCTCAAATCGTTGAGCTGAGATGACGACTTTAAAACTGTGTGCCTAAAAATCAGACTCAAAGTCCTCAAAGAATTGTGACTTGAAAACTGTGAGCCTAAAATTGCAGCACCAAAAAGTGACTCCGAAATATCCAATCAATTTAAAATTGTAAGAAAAGGAGCATTTCTAGCATTTATAAGTGCGGGTCGCCAAGCTCTTATGCAATATATTATATATATTATTATCAGCTGAATTATTATTCAATTCGGCCAATATACCCGCTTTGCCTTGGGCAAACAGTTCAGTTATGTTCAGTTTGGTTTGGCTTTCCGTTTGGTTTATTTGCTTCTCATTCCCCTAATGCCGTACGCTGTTTCGCTTTGTGACTTTGTGACTTTTGTGGCTTTGATAGACGTGTGTTGCATGCCACCAGAGGGGGCTCAATCGGGCTTGTGGTCTTCTACCTTGTGTATAATGCGGTTCATTTGAACGGACTAGCTGCTAATTGAGATTGGGCAGGCTCTTCCTCACTCCTCACTCCTCACTCCCCCCCCCTCTCTCTCTCTCTCTCATTGTGTGTGTGCTTGCAACTAATTGTATTACATTTGAGCAACGCCTCTTAATGTTTGCTTCTTCTTTTTCTAATCAAGCCGCATATATTGTTTGCATTCCACAGGCAATGGTGCTGCCGCCGCTGGCTAAATGGCCCTACGAAAATGGATTTACCTTTACCACCTGGTTTCGATTGGATCCAATTAACTCGGTGAACATTGAGCGCGAGAAACCCTATCTCTACTGGTAAGTAGCTGCCGGCAACTCCCAAAAAAAAGCACCCTCTCCTTCCACACACTCCTCACAGTTGCGTACTTCTTGCAACTAATTGGCACTTACTAATTGCTCACATATATTTCTTGTCTTCTCCCCCCGCTCTCAACTTTAGTTTCAAGACATCGAAGGGCGTTGGGTATACGGCTCACTTTGTGGGCAACTGTCTGGTCCTCACATCGATGAAGGTCAAGGGCAAGGGCTTTCAGCATTGCGTCAAATATGAATTCCAGCCACGCAAGGTAAGTGCCCCAGGGTTACCCCGGGTTACTCCCGTTCCGGTTCGAGTCGTTACACCTGTGAATTACGACCCATTAGCCCCACAAACACACGCTTGCCACTTGCCACTTGCCCCTTGCCACTTGCCACTTGCCACTTGCCACTTGGCTGCCTACTTTCAATTTATGGGCGTGATTCCGGGCTGCCAAAGTTTAATTAACAGCCCATAGCATGGCCAACAACATAGCCAAATTACCTGCCCAAAGCAATTGAAATTAGTTTTGGGACGAAAATTAACTACGGCCGCTACCAAAGTTGGCGGCAAAGCTAACATTTCAATGGACTCTATTCTTACAAGAAATAAATGATCAAATTTCTGGAAAGGAAAATTCATTTGACGGACAAATATAAGGCACTTAATAGGCAAATCGCATGCTTTTCGGTAAAGCTACGCAAGTTGGAAACTATTTCGAGAATTTTTCTGAATTTATTTAGTTCGTTTTAAATGTACTTAAATTGCTGCCAGAAAACAGTTTAAATCAAAATATAATAGTTGAAAATGATGTTTAAACAAAATTTGAGTAGGTTCAATTGAACAAAATTTACAAAAAAAAAAAAAAAAGGGTGTAGCGACATCATTTCGCACAACATATCTCCGCCGTTCTACATACAACATATCTGCACGCGGCATTTATGTCAACAGATATATATCCACCGATCTATAGATCGGCAGAGTTATGTCGCTTAAAACGACGCTTAATGCCGCCGTTATCAACGGCAAAGATATGTCGGTGAAAGTACTTGAAAAAAAAAAAAACAAAAGGAAATAAGAAAGAAAGAAAAAATGCTAAGAGAATTCCATGCAAAAATGTGATTTGTGAACAATCACTTAGTTATATGATATAGAAGTCCAATTCGATTGATTCCGATATAAATAGATATATGTTTGTATATACATATATATATATATTTATACTGCCTGCAACAAACGGATTATTTAGCATGTAAACCTGCAGGATTTTGATTAATATATACAAACAACTCTAATCCATATTTTTATCTCTGACTCTCTCCCTTCCATTCTCTCTCTCTCTCTCTCTGGCTTACTCTCATTAGTGGTATATGATTGCCATAGTGTACATATACAATCGTTGGACAAAAAGCGAAATCAAGTGCCTCGTGAATGGACAACTGGCGTCGTCAACCGAAATGGCCTGGTTTGTTTCCACAAACGATGTGAGTAGCAGAACCTTTAAATCTCTCTCTCTTTTTCTCTACCTTACTTCCTCTCTCTCTCTCTCTCTCTCTCTCTCTCTCTCTCTGTAGCCCTTTGACAAGTGCTATATAGGCGCCACGCCCGAACTGGATGAGGAGCGCGTCTTCTGTGGCCAAATGTCGGCAATCTATTTGTTCAGCGAGGCGCTGACAACGCAGCAAATCTGCGCGATGCACCGCCTGGGGCCGGGCTACAAGGTAAGTGGAGCCACCGTATCCAGCATTTAAGCACTGTACCACCACCGTGCCACTGTGGCTGCACCGCCAAAAAAAGAAAAAAAAGAAGAAGAACCACTGCACTGCAGCAACAGCAGCACTTTGTCCTTGTGAACCGCCGCCCCCCCCCACCAAGCCCAGCCCACTCCAACCACATCCCGCTGCCCAGAACTTTGTGAAAATCGTACTTATAACAATAATTACTTGTATTTTTTTTTCTATTTTTTTCTTGTTCACTTGTGTGCGCTCTCTCTCTTTCTCTCTTCCTCTCTCTCTCTCTTACTATCTCTCTCTCTCTCTTTTTGTCTCAATGCGCTGCACCAACTTTGCACCAATGCCACCAACGACAACAACAACAACAACACTAACAACGCTGCGTTTGCGTCGGTCTGTTGTTGCGACACACACACACACACACACACACACACACGCGCGCACACACGCGCACACACACGCTCGCACAAAACAGTCGCAATTCCGCTTCGATAACGAGTGCTATCTGAATCTGCCGGACAATCACAAGCGGGTGAGTCACTTTCAACTAACAACCAGTTTGGGTGGTGCTCTGCTGGTTGGCAGCGATGCAGCCGGCGCCGCGGCCGGCAGCAGCAGCGGCAGCAGCAGCAGCAGCAGCCAGCAGCAACAGTTGCAGCTGCAATTCCAAACGCTCGCCGCCGAGCAGGAGGCGCGCGCCATTGACTGGTCCGACGAGCGGCTCGATTTGAGTGCGGCTTTTGTCAAGATCCGGGCGGTGCTGACCGCACGCAATGCGGTCGCGCTGGCGGCTCTAACGGGCGGTGCAGCACCAACAACAGCAGCTGCCACAGCAGCAGCAGCAGCAGCAGCGGCGGCAGCAGCAGCAGCAGCCACGCCGGGCACGCATGCCGAGGGCGGCAGCAGCAGCAGCAACAGCGAGCAGCAACAGTTGCCGCTGGCACAGCAGCAGCAGCAGCAACAATCGAACAGCAATAACAACAACAACAACAACAACAACACTGCGGACGATCCGCTTGGCCATTTGCCCACTGGAAATGCTTCTTTTGGTATTTATGATTTGTTCTTGTGTGTGGCTGCGCTTTGCTTTCGATTCTTATGTTTATCGTTTATCGTTTTTTTCTTTGCATTTTTTATTTCAATCCTCTCGATCGATTTTCGTTTGACGCGTGGGCGGGGCAGATCAACTGCGTCGCATGTCCAGTGTGACCAGCCTGAGCACCATGGGCGTGCCCGCCGCCGCCATTGCCGGCGACACTGAGGAAATCAACCAGCTTAAAGCTGTAAGCAATTCATAAATATGTTATTCTAGTTAATCGGGTTTTATTTTATTTACGGTTTTTTTTCTTTTTATTTTTCGATATTCTATATATATTTGAGCACAATTTAACTTAATTTAGTTGAGAATTTAATTCGGGTTTCATGCTAACATATTCAATTTTCAATAATTTTCATGGGCACGGCTTGGCTTTATTTCGTTAATTTTCTGGTCAGTTTTTTAAGTTTCATATTTTATAATTCTATATATTGGTTTTCTAATGCTTATATTTTTAATTCATAACCATTTTATATTCGCACAATGTAGTTGAATTTCGTAAAATTTATGAGTTTTTTTTTTTTATATCAAATTTCAATCTTTTTGCTAATACACTAATATTTAATTTTTAATAATTATTATGGGGCACAATTCAGTTCAATTTCAGGTTTTATTTTATGTATGGTAATATATCTAATTTCAAACAATTTTTTATTCGCACAATTTAGTTGAATTTTGTTAAATTTCTAATTATTTTTTTGGGTTTTTTTTTTTCAATTCTTATTTGGGTTTCATGCTAATATATTTAATTTTCTTTAACTATTTTTATGAGCACAATTTAATTTTTTATTCAAGCTTTTCTTTTCTTTCGTTTTCCGTATATCTCACGCTTGTATTTATTTAATTTTTGTTTTGATTAATTTTTCTTTAATTAAACTTTTTTATATTTAATATTTTTTTCTCTCAAATATCTTTTAAACAATTTTTTTAACTTTTGTTTAACTTCTAACTTACTTACTCCAAATTTTGATTTAGTTTATTTCTTATTTGAATATAAATACTTATATATTTATTTATTAAATATTTATATAAATTTCTGAAATATTTCTTACTTCTATTTTTTATTTTATATATTTAATTTTACTCATTTTTAATACTTAAACATTTGATTTTGTGATTTGTTAATCACAATTAAGATTTTCGTTTCACGTAAACTACAATTTGTTTACTTGTTTTTATACTTATGCTCTAATTTTGTAGTCATTTTAAATTATTTATTTTTTATATGTTAATCTTATTTGTTAGGTTTTCAAAATGGTTATTTTTACAATAATAATATATAAAGTTGTTTATTATACAATTGCTTGTCAAATCGATCTCAAGGCACCCCCCCTACCCTTAAGCCGGCAACCCCTGGCCAGACTACGCCTCTGCTTGGGCGCGACGCCAATTAAAAAGTTAGCAACGTCGGGAACGTTGAACGTTGCCAAATCCGCAAACGAATCGCAGCAAATCGAATCAACTCGCATCGAATCGTTTTGAATGCCAACCAGAGCCCCCACCGCCCGCAGCAGCTACCCCCCGCCGCAGCCCACTTGACAGCTCTTAGGCAAAAACTAAACTTCAAAGCCAATCAAAATGTTCCCATTCATTGAAGCGCAGCTTGCGCTGCTCTATTGAATTCTCAACTATGGCAAGCAAACAGCAATTCCATGCCACACACCACGCTCCGCACGCCAATCCCCCCCCTACCCCTGCTCGAGAACGCTCGTAATTATGAAAATGTTTGTAATTTTGTGTAGAATTTTAAAGTGCGCCGCCTTTAAGGGCTGGACGAGTCGTCCGTTTGGTGAGGCTTGGGAGTTGCGTTGGCAACAACAATGCTCGGCGCGAGGCTTACAAATAAGTGTTGCATACTTCGCAGCGCACCTAGAACCAGGCAAAGACAAAGCAAACGGCGACGGCGACGGCGACTGCAAATGTGGAACTCACCTCTCTTAAGCATCTTGTAGTCGTATTTCCCGTTGTTGTTTTTGTTTCTGTTTCACTATTATGATTGCTAGCTAGGCTACGCCCCCCACCACCACCCCTTGCTCTCGCCATTCGCTATGATTGTTTGAAATCTATGCAACATGCTCCATATACCAGGATCTACGAACTATACGTTAACTCTAGCCTGAAGGGTGGGTGTACGGGGGACGAGGGGTACTGCATTTCAACATTTCTATGCCAGATTCCATTTTGTTGACACTCCTGCACTCGCACTTTGTATTATTATTATTATTATGATTATTTATTTTGATATATGTGAAAGTGTTTGTGTGTGTGTGTGTGTGTGTGTGTGGGTGTGTGTGGAGAGTGCATTAGTCTTGAAAGTTATTTTATGTAGCTGTTGTTCTTGCCTAGCTCTTGTGTACCTAACCCAAATAACAAGCTTGTGAAATGGGTCAAGTTGTGCTACCAAAATGGGTTAATAGTGGCAAAATTCGAGAGGTTAGCATAAAAGGATTTTAAGCACAGATTTGAAGCATATATATATGTATATATATACTTCGCTGGCATCTGAATTGAAAGTACTCGACAGTTATTCCACCTCAGTTGCATTTCAAATATGTTTATTTGCCAAGCAAGAGCAATTTGTAGCTTCAACACAATTAGCTCCATAATGTGCGAGCTTATATTCTTTAACTTGAAAATCTAGTCACATATGCATGTTTTCTGTGGTCCTTAATTTTGGCACGGGTCCGTATGTATGAAAGCATCGATCTCAGAACCTATCTCAGAACCTAGAGACATGAAATTGTGAACGAAGGTCCTCCTAGTGCCCGCGCAGGATGAGTTTGTTTCCGTTAATCGCTTACTTGTCCCGCTTCAAAGTAATCAATAATAATCCAAACCGAACTCCTGTTCGATTTTAAGAGCAAGAGTCAGCAAACCTGACATGTACTTTATAGAATAGTTTATACAGATCAAGTATCTATCAATTTATAGCTACCCCCTTTCAAGCACGGGCTGCATTCGAGTCAGGATATGGCCTAGTCGAGCACGCCCGACTGTCTGGAAAATCTTTGAACTTCTTTTTACTTGTTATTTTAATTTTTGATTATTATTTTTTGCTATTTATTTTATTTATTTCGCTTACAATTATATTGCAAAAGTATTTTCGTTTATCCTATTATTTATTTAATTATTCTTATTTTGTTTAATTTGTTGGCCAAATCGGCCTGAAAGCATGAAGAGCTAGCCTCTAAATAGCTCTGGCTACAATCGCCTTCATCCAACAAATCTGGAATTTTCGCCCAAAATCTCACGGCCATGATTCCTTAACACCTTTTTGCCACTTGGCTGCTTTTCTGTTAGTTCCAAATTAAAGTTCTGTATTAAAGTTCTCGATTGAAGTCCTTTAAAAAAGTTTATTTAAGCAATGTTGAGCTACCATCTTTGTAAAGAGCTCGCTTTGGCTAAAGTTTTGAGACAAATGCATTTTCAATTGCCCCTCTATATTCAATATTTAATAAATATGTGTGAATGTGTGCAATATGTTGCGGGGCATACCCTTTGTATGCACTCCTTAAGTTTTTTTCTTCTCATATAATTTTCTCTGCCTTTTATGTGTGTTTTTTACTTTCTCTCTCATATATATTCCTTTTTTTTTGTTAAATAACGCAAGGAAGTATTTTTAGCAGCAAATTATGCAGCCAGCGATTACACACGCACAGCTTACACACACACACACACACACACTCGCATACACACGTACACACACATGTATCTGTTTGCTTAAAGGTTTACTTACACACACACACACACACACACACACACGCGCTGCAAAAAGCTACAGCAGCCGCTGCAAGTATATTAGGCATACGCCTCGTATGACGGCGCCAGCTAAAAAAATGCACCAAAAAAAATATATATTAATATATAAAAGTATATAAAAAAAGAGTATAAAATAATAATATAAGTAAAACAAATATAAGAACTCGGGACAAGTCAACAGCAATTTGATGTGTGTGTATATTGTGTCTGCTGTTTGCTGTAAATTGACAGCTATTTATTTATACCTATATTTGTACATCTATTTATATATATATTATATATATCTATATATATTTGTATAGATGTATGTATGTATGTGTATGCAAGCAGTAGTATTTAAGTACTTCATGTATATGTATATAGATCTCTTTGTACTCCGCTCAACGCTTAAAGCAAAAGGCCAAAGGCAAAGGCCAGAAGCAAAAGTAAATTGTCAGCATGACCGGAAACAATTCGCCGGGCTCAGAGCAACAGAGCAACAGAGCCACAGAGCCGCAGAGCTCTGACAATGACTTGTTGAAAGCCATGCCTAACTAATGCCAACAATTCTCTTTCTCTCTCCCCCTCTTTCGCTATCGCTCTGTCTCTCTTTGTTGCCACAGGTGCTGTATGATGGCAAACTATCGAATGCCATTGTCTTCATGTACAATCCAGTGGCAACCGATGGTCAACTTTGTTTGCAGTCTTCCCCCAAAGGAAATGTTTCATATTTTGTACACACGCCGCACGCGCTGATGCTGCAGGTAAGTAAACATGCCTCACACACACACACACACAGACACATCCTATATTGCCCCCCTTCCCACTGGGCCCAGGAGTATACGTGTAAATCCCCCAACCTATTTCGTATACGTAATGTACATAGCTGTAGCTAGTTCACTTCACTTCTGTTCAGTTCATTCGAAAAGCCTGAGACACACGGCTCATACCAAGGCCAAAGACCAACACAACACACACACACACACACACACACACACACACCACACACACACATAAAGGACACCACATATATTTCAGGCAGTATTTTACGACTCAAGCGCATGCTTTGGCATTTCCTATTAGGTACAATCTTTGGTCGCCTCCTTCTGCTGCTGCCTCGATTGTTCGATTCCATTCCGTTCCGCAGTCTTATCATGCTTAACAGCTGCCTGCCCGCCTTCTGGCCAGCCACCACCAGTTGTCCGCCATGCTTTGTAGCTGGCAACAAAATTATTCAATAAATTTTGTAGTAATTTCTTGTGCAAACAACACAAATCATAAAAGAGCACCACAACAACAACGACGCGTCGAAAATGTCTGCAAAATGAGTCCAGGACATGCCCACAGAAGCACAGAAACAGCAAGCGACCAACGAAACACTCAAAGGACACACACACAGTGGTGCGCAAGTCAAGTCGATGTGTAAAAGAAAAACCAATTTAATCGATAAATATTGAGGGAAACTCAAATTTATGCCCCGAACTTTAGGTAAATTGACATTTGAGAAATGGTTAATCAATAGACGCACCAGTCTTTGTTCAAGCCGTCGTTAAGGGATGTGCCTCTAGGCCTACAAAAGTAAACTATTTTCTGTAGATAATCTTAGGCAGAAACTTTAAACGTTAGACAACACTTTAAATTTTAGTCACGTTGGCAGCACGGTTAAAGACAGATTACACTCTCTCTTATTTTAGATTACATTTCCATTCAGTTTAACTAGAAACGGAGCTTAGACCAAGATTTAAAAATTGATTTGTAAATAATAAGATATTATTTTTGATCATTTTCACAGGATGTCAAGGCTGTGGTCACGCATTCCATACACTGCACACTCAACTCGATCGGCGGCATTCAGGTGCTGTTTCCGCTCTTCTCCCAGCTGGACATGGCGCACGAGGGCATAAGCGATATCAAGCGCGATCCGACGCTCTGGTAAGTGGTTCACAAATTTGTATCGACTAAGTTCCAGTCTCATGCGTTCCTTGTCTAATTTTGAATTTGATTTTTGTGCGATTTGCTACTTTCGTTCTCAAGTGTTTTCTTCCTCGTTGTCCTCCAATCTTTACCCTTTATCTTGTTTAATTTAAAGTAATTCCGATTGTGTTGAAGTGCCAGCCAATATGTTTCATTCTCGCTATCTTCTTATACTTATTTGCACAGTTTATTAGTGTTCCATTCTCATGCGTTCTATGGTTTGTTTGAGCTCATTTTTTATTCTCATCATTCCCATTCGTTTTACTTGTTTTATTGCAGTTCACTGTTAGCCTTGTTTCACTCTCATTCATTCCTTTTCGATTATAAAGCGTTTTTACAATAACATTTCAATATTTATTTCATTCTTAATGGTAATCTTTCATTCGTCTCTGTTACATTCTCACTCGTTGCTTTTGCCTGCATTCCATTCTTATTTCATTGTGTTTCTATTTGCAATATTCCCTTTTGTGTTGGAATATCATATTTCATATAAGCGTTTAATTTCTATTTGGGCATGTGCTCCATTTCCGTTTATTATTTACATACATTTTTATATCAATTATAATTGTTATTCTACATTCATTCATTTCTATTCCATTCTCATCCGTTCCTTTTGCATTTACAGCTCGAAGCTGTTGGGCTTCATTTGCGAACTGGTGGAGACATCGCAGACGGTGCAACAGCACATGATACAGAATCGCGGCTTTCTAGTGATATCCTTCATGCTGCAGCGTTCGTCGCGCGAGCATCTGACTTTGGAGGTGCTCGGCTCGTTTCTCAATTTGACCAAATATCTGGTCACCTGCCTGTCGGCCAACAGCGACTTGCTGCTGAAGCAGGTAAGTGGGCGCAAGGCCCAAAATCAATCCCAGCATCTGTACAAAGCATAACAACTAGATCTACTCTTTGCCGCTCTATGTTAATGTTAATGTTAATGTTAAGAAACTGAAACTCGCGCTTCAACATCGATAAGCCCCGAAACGATTTATCGATAGCATGCGACTGACATTTTGAGGGGCGCAGTGTCTTGGCAAGCATGCTTCAAAATTATAATTATAAATACTCAGTATTATTGACGCCTAGTAATATGTCTCTCTATGATATACGTATATTGCCTATGTTTAGTAACTATTTATATACTTATATATATATATGTCATTGTATATGTCTGTTATTAAGTTCGATCTAAGTTCGCGTCGCAATGTACATCCCCCAATCAAAACGAATGCATGACAAATGCCGCCCGCGCCGTGAGTTTTTCTTTTTATCATTTCTATTATTTTTCAGTTCCGATCAGACCCACAACTATTAAAAGTTCCTGTTTCCAAGCAACGCCTACCTTCAAATTTAGCATTTTATTTAAATTGTTTCACTCCTGCCGCCCACCTGGACACGCTCATGCGTCGCGTCGTGTCAACATGGCACAAAAATGTATTTAAAAAAAAAAATATTTTAAAAAAATGCAATATAAATGTATTTCCACTCGTTTCACGTTCGCCGTTTCTCATCATTTTTGTGGCATGTTTAACACCTTGGCAAACAAATTTCAAATGATATGCAAAACCCACTCATCTGCTCTCTCTCTCACTCTTTTTATATTCTCACTCCCTCTCTCTCTCTCTCTATTTCTTTTTCTCTGTTTCTGTATGTATATCGTCTGCCTATCGCACTGTCTTTGCCCTTGTGTTGTTCTTGTGTTCTTGGTGTTGATGTTGGCGCCTGCAACTCCTGCTCCTTTTGGTCCTTCTGGTCCTCCTGCCGAACGGCGCACAGTTGAGCACGGGCCTGCGTAATCCTTTCAAAAAAGTAAACACAAAACGTAGCAAATCAAATACACACAATTTTCTTGCATTAAGTCCTTGTATTCGCTACTCGTTATTCGTTACCCGTTACCCGTTACCCGTTACTCGTTACCCGTAACTCCTCTGCTAGCTAAATTCTCTAAAGCCCAGAGCCGCTTTCCCACTTCCTAGACTAATCCTTAGATATATACTCTATATGTGCACATGCATATATATATGTGCGCGCATATATTTACTTACTTATATACCAAGCAATAACTTTGTTTATTCTTTATCCTTTTTATTCACGCTTTCTTATTTATTTGCTCAACACACACGATAAACCAGCAAAATCTCAAGCAACAGCCCCAAAAACTACTCGAATGTGTTCCCTTTCGCTCTAGTCCGTTTAACATTTTATATGCTTAGCTCGTTGTTCACGCACCGGGGATTTAATCTAGATGCGAAAAGAATTAATCAGAATAGTTAATACCCTTACTCCGAAGATTTAATACCCTTGTAGATATTTGTCTTACGGTGTTGCAGATATGTGAGCATTATAAATCTCGTAAATGCTGAGTTTGATGAAAATATCGAGGAAATCTGAATATTTTGCCATATAAGAACCTACCGTCGACCGATCTTTCCTATGGCAACTATATGATATAGTGGTTCGATCAAACTTTCCAGACAGACAGACTGACAGATGGACATGGCTATATCAACACGGCTGTTGATGCTGATCAAGAATATATTTACTTTATGGGGTCGGAGATGCTTCCTTCTGCCTGTTACATACATTTGCACAGATACATTATACCCTTTTTACTAATTTTTAATGGGTTCAGGGTATAGGAAGTCTCTTAAAATATATGGCAAACGGCTCGCATGAAATATGAAATACTTGCTCATTTCCTTCCCACAAAAATGTTTGATACTGTTTTTATTTTTAAATTCATGTTCAATTCAAATTTTATTTTAAAAATTAAAAGTAAATAACATATTTTTTAACTTAAAATGTAAACGCATTTCTTCGGCAATCTTATAATTATAACAAAGGTTAATACATAAATAAAATAGTTGTATTTAAAACTATTAATGAAAGAAAATAAATTACATTTTCATTTTTTTGGCATCAGCCTTTTCTAAGCGCGCCACTCTATCCTGCGCGTATTGAAAGTATTTTTGCCTTACGCGGTCGAAATCGCATTCTTCCAAACTTCTGTTTTAATGCATTTGCAGACAATAGCAAAATCATATTAATTTGCACAAATACAGGTTATAAAAGTAATGCTAGCTTCGTATTTCTAATGTGATTTGAAGGCCTCTAACACACATTTTTTCTTCGTCCCACGCGAGGAGCATTGATTTGCAACATCATCCGTTATTATTTGGCGCCAGGTGCTCCTCTCGAATTTGTCGAACGGCTTTTCAGCACTTGCGACTTGTTTAATGACCTTGAGAAAAATGTGAGATTTATAAGTGAATAGTAAAATTAGTTACTTTAGAGTTTCCTTACCAAATTTTCAAAGGACTTCTCTTCCTTAAGACATTCTTCAAATGCCTATTTGATATTTTAAAAAATCATCAAAAAAGGTTGACTTAACAAACGAATCGTTTTTTGGTCAACAAATTTTTTTTACCCATCGATTTTTAATTTCGTTGAATGCCAATTGATAATAGGGATCCGTAAGAAATAAAAAACATATAATATGTAAAAATCGGACGATATATACCCGAGGTATTCAAAAAAAATCATCCAAAAAGTTTTGATTTTCGAACCGACCCCGATTTTGAGGAAAAACGTGATGTAACCTCTTGCCAATTTGATCAATTTAAGTTAAAATTTAGATTTTCATTTTTTTGATGCCAACCGATAGTACTGAGCCTTACGAGTCCAAAATGGTATAAAATTACAAAATCGGACTTTATTTGGCCGAGAAATTCAAATAAAAACATCAAAAAAAGTTGACTTTACAAACGAATCGTTTTTTGGTCAACAACTTTTTTTAGCCCATCGATTTTTGATTTGCTTGAATGCCAATTCACAGTAGGGAAAAAATCATTTGAAAAGTATTGATTTTCGAACAGGCCCCAATTTTGAGGCCAAAAATTTATAATATGAATTTCTTCTTCGATAGTACCATATAATGGTGGCGGGGATAGCTATAAAATGAAAGTTAGTTGATATATATACCATTCTATAGGCTACATGTCAAGTTTGGTGAGTCTAGCTCATATAACTTACGAGATTTGCGCAATAAACAGGGTTCTAATATGGATTTTGATCGATTACTTTGAAACGAGGCAAGTTATCAATTATCGGAAACAAACTTGTACTATGGCTATTGATGCTGATCGAGAATATATATACTTTATGGGGTCGGAGATGCTTCCCTCTGCCTGTTACATACATTTGCACAAATATATTATGCCCCTTGTAACCATTTTTAATGGGTTCAGGGTATTAAAAGGGGTATCTCTCATTCCGAAAATATATTTTTCTCAGTCCCACTTTATAATACAAATAATTTCCATATCTTTTGCACTCCTTCGCGGGTTTCTGTTGTCTTCTGTTTAATCGAAGCGTGTTTTTTTGTTGTTTTTAATCATTTTTTTCGTTGACTGTTGCATGCTTTAGGTACGCTTAAGAGCTACCAGTTTTAATTGGCCAGTTTTAATTGGCCAGCAATTGCAAAAGCTGTTCTTATTATTTGCCCTGCTTTTGCACTGAGTTGGTTTGTGTTGATGCTTTGCACTTGTTTACCCAAATGAGTTTCGCATGCCATTTGCCATCCAAGTCAAGATTAATCGAAATTTTAATGTGCTTACTTTATACCCAGCTGATTCGCTCAGTTATAGAGCGTATAGAAAGTCCAAAAACTTGCAATGAAGAACCAAATAATGAACGAGCTTTTGAAATAAATGTATTTACAACTGAAATCTAAATTCTTCTAATTTGTCTGCTCTCTCACATTATTTCTCCCTCTCTCTCTCTCTCTTTCTCTCCCACTCTTGATCTGATTTGTTATATGTTCCCTGCTCTGCGGTTTTTTGTTTTTGTTTTTAATCAATCCCACACACAATTCGCAATTCGCACAACCCGCGCCCGCTCATTCCCTCATCGAACTATTTGCTCATTTTAATTATGCTTCATATTCTTTGAACGCGCCTTCTCAATCAATCAAAATTGTTACATCTTGAAACGCTTCTTTTCAATCAACACATAAAACAACAACAACAATAACAACAACAACAACAACAACAACTGAACTTAATACCAATATCAAATATCTACAACAGTTCTACCAGGTGAAGCTCAATTCTCAAATTTCTTTTACTCAACTATCGTATTGTACAGTCTATATAAACGTACCTTATCGTTCCGTTCCGTTCAATTCCGTTTCGTTCCGTTTCTATGTGTGTGTGTGTTTGTTTCGTTAACGTTACTCAGTGTCTTTATTCTAAAGTGATTTGTATTCAATAACTAGTACATTTACCTAATGTACTGTCTCATTCCAAATTGTTCCACTTTATTGATATGTGTATATAGTACATGTGTATCTATTGTCGGTAGCCCATCAAGCATAATTGGTGTTAAATGTTCATTCATTTGTGTATTTGAATTCATATAGTTGCTTTAAAAGTGATATATCATTTGTTTCCATTGTTTCACTTCATTGTAACAGCATTTATCAATTAGTTAATTTACAGTAAATGTTCTTATGCTGCTATATTTTGTATTCAGTTGCTTCATAAATGCTGTTCCATTCACATTGTTCCATTTCATTGTTATATATTCATGCGCTAGGCACATTTATACCGCAGCATTACTCTCAGGTTCATGCTGTTGTTCAAAATGTTTACTATATACCCATTTGTGCAGTTGATTCATTTGCTGCTTCATTCCACATTATCGTAAGAAACTCATACTTAGTTTTTTGAACTTAATTTCTTAATAGATCGTATTTCTAGCTCTAAACTTGTATATTTATCAACAAGTGTACAGTTGTCTTTCACATGCTGTTCCATTCCACATTGTTTCAGCTTTTTTTTTATTTACTCTCGGAGAGCCTCGGAGAGCAGCCTCTCAATTATGGAACTGCAAAATCAATCATATGTGGAGATATATTAATTGCGAATTTTTTTCTAGTTCCTCGTCTCATTAACACAAACTTCCGTTTCAAAGCTCATCGTTCCACACAGCTCTCGACTGAAGTTGCTTCATTGTGAATTTACATAATTTGTTTAATTGGAGGTCGACTTCACACCTTAACCCAACTTGAACTCATTTGTGTAACGCGTCGCCCACTCGAGAGGGCTGGGCAAAAAATGTGTATAAATTGCCAGGCGAAACTAACTTTTTTTTTTGCATTTTCAGCGCCCACTTTTCGCAAATATATTTTTTTGTATAGAATATTTATTTTCGTGCTGCTGAATCTCTGAATCTGTTGTTGTTTTGGGATATTCAGTTTTCAGTTTTCGGTTGCCGTTGCCGTTGCCGTGTTCCCTTATTATTTTACACTCGTGCACAGTTTTTAATTGGGAAACTTTCGTGGACAGCTGGGCGTGGCACTGTTATTGCCACATCGGGTGTTCCATTGTTATGTTTGCTGCGACCAACGCTGGCAACGGCAGCGGCAGCAACAGCGGCAACAATAGCAACAAACAGAGCCAGGCCAAAAAGTTTGCCCTCTAGTATATGGTCGGGTGCGAATTGAATTGAAGTGGTGACCCGCATCGCCAGGCCATGTGTGAACATATCGCCCGCATATGCATATGTACATACGCATATATATAGATATGCACATATATATTTCCTTTTTTGACAATTCAACAATTAAAATTTGAGCACAAATATTACACAGATATCTGTGCAAAAAGTGCCCGCAAATGAAATTTTAGTCCAATCGGAACGAATACGATTTTTAAAGCGATTAACAGGAAAAACATCATGAACTTTACAATTCAACTAGCCTGAAACATTGCAGTCGGGTGCAATCGACTGCGCGATACTCTTGCGCAATCTAATCACAGCTTGCAGTAGGCACCTTTATTGAAATATATCGATATTTATTGGTATCGATATATTTCGTGTGCACTCAGACTTGCTTTCAAATTGTGTAAGATATGGATTCTTGCAATTTTCCACGTCTCCAGTGGCTGTTACCTGCATACTTTATCTTAAACGGGTATGCACGAATATATATACCCAATTTACAGGCGCAAATTTTAATAGTTCCGAAAAAAATTGCATCGGACCAATATACTTTTTCGACAATCTGAACGAGTATAAAACTTAATTTTTGTTTCACCCAAGCTATATACATATATATTCAAAGGTATATATATATATATATATATCAAATCATATTTTTTATATATATTTAACATGACTTGAGCGGACAGAGGGAGGCATGCCAAGACAATCTCTGCTATTCTGGAAACTATATGGAAAAGCCTAGGCTAGGGTTAATGCTTGTGTATAGTCTTGGGTCCCGATTCCCTTTTATATCCTCTTTCTATGCATATCATAGAATCGGAGAGCCACACTCTGCAGGCGCCCAGGTTAAGACGCACTGCTAGCCTAGGCTCTGCTTGACTAAGGCTTAACTTAGTTCATTCGAGTTTTAACTTAATTCCTTTTGGATCAGCAAATCAACTGAGCTAAAGCAAGTTTCTCTATCCTGTTCCTAAGTCTGTTCCGGTTTTTGTTTTTATTTTCCGTCTGAACCGAACTCTTTACACGAAACTTTTCTTCAGCTGGATCTAGGCTTATTCTCGTATCTGTTTGTTAACATGGATATAGATTTAATATATGCTTCTTATGTGAGAGCTTTTGTTTTAGCTATGAAATCGGCCGCTGAGCATGATTCGGTTTTATTTTATGTCCTTAGTTAAGACCTATTCCTAAACTTGAGTAAAGATCTATTGGTTAGACCAACATCGGAGTTACAGTTGCCGGGCTCAGCTCAGGGCCGGAAACTTATTCTGAGTCTGGGTTTTTTATCTGATCAGTTTTGCACATGATGTGGAGCTATTAGCCCTGAATTTGTTCTCAAACAATCATTGATCGATCTACATTAATCTTAACTTTATGTCTTACTCCTAGAAATATTTGAATGTTTATCATCGCATTTCATATATTGCTGTCTATTATGTATCCAATATCTAATTAATACTAAAGTTATGTATGCATAAGATCATTTATTATAATTTTTAGCGTAATTAGCTGAATTAATTAAGCTTAGCTTAGTTCTCGTTTTGGAATGCTCTGAAAAAAAAATTAATTAATCTGTTGATTACTTTGTTTGTTAATTTCTCGTTTTATGTTTTATGACAAACGTTGATAAAAAATAAATTGATTGCTGTTTGCTGCATGTGTTACCGTTGTTCAATATAACGAATCCTACTACTACTACTACCAATCCTCCAAATATATATATATATATATATATATATGTATGTATACATGTATATATACATATATGTATAAATAACCCTATCCAAATCAATCGACTACAACAACAATCAACATGAAACTCATGTAAACGTATGTATACAAACAACAAAAACAACAAAATGTCTTTTGTTCTTTCGCTACTCTATCTATCTATCAATCTCTCTCTCTCTCTCTTTCTCTAAAACTAACCCAATTATTTAACCATTCAACTAACCAACTATCAAATACTCTCACACACACAAACACACACACACACACGCAAACATCTTCAATCCTTGCAATTTCGTTGAGTCTCTGATATCTGAGGACAGCATAAGTTACTTGACTAATTCGCCGCAGTTGTTCTGTTTCTCGTTTCTCACGTGGCAGCTGCTCGATCACGTGCTCTTCAATCCGGCCCTGTGGATCTATACGCCAGCCAATGTCCAGGCACGCCTCTATTCCTATCTGGCCACCGAGTTTCTCAGCGATACACAAATCTATAGCAATGTCCGCCGTGTAAGCACCGTCTTGCAGACAGTACACACCCTCAAGTATTACTATTGGGTCGTCAATCCGCGCGCCAAGAGCGGCATCATACCGAAGGGTTTGGGTAAGTCTCATTGCTACAACTGGGCAGCTGTGGGCTTTGATGTTGACGGTGCGTTCCAATCGATTGTTCCAGATGGTCCTCGACCGGCTCAGAAGGATATTCTGGCCATACGCGCCTATATCCTGCTGTTCCTCAAGCAGCTAATCATGATCGGCAATGGCGTCAAGGAGGATGAACTGCAAAGCATACTCAACTATCTGACCACCATGCATGAGGTGAGTGTCTAAAAATGATGAGAGGCGGTAAACGTGAAAGGTTTCCCTTTAAGTACATTTTAAGCTGAGTCAATTAATAATGCAGCTGAGAGCTCAGCTAACAAAAGCGACTTATTTCCCGCATCCTATTATTAATTCAGCTTTAAAGTCTAGCAAATCCCGCATGTAAAAGGATTATAGATAATAGAGAGAGAAAACCTTAGCAACGCACAGTGGCTGCTAATTAAATGTTATTTATTTGGAACTCTTTTTGTCATTTGCATAGGACGAGAATCTGCACGATGTGCTGCAGATGCTCATCTCGTTGATGTCGGAGCACCCGAGCTCAATGGTACCTGCATTCGATGTGAAGCACGGCGTGCGCAGCATCTTCAAGCTGCTGGCGGCCGAAAGTCAACTGATACGCCTCCAGGCGCTCAAGCTGCTCGGCTTTTTCCTCTCGCGCAGCACACACAAGTAAGTTCAACAAATAATGGGTTGGATTTCTCCGTGCCGCGGTAATTGTGGTTAGCGGGAGGGGGCTTAAATAATGGATTCCAGCCTGGTTAGGCATGGGCCTAGTCTGCCCTCCGTTTGACAAACTGCCGTGTAATGCACATGCTCATAAATTTTTGCATGTGTCTGGTTTCTCTTAACCTTTTCTTTGTTCTTTTTCCAACTGTTCCCCCAACTCCGACAACCGCTGCAGGCGTAAGTACGATGTCATGTCGCCGCACAATTTGTACACGTTATTAGCGGAGCGTCTGCTGTTATACGAGGAGTCATTGTCGCTGCCCACATACAATGTGCTCTACGAGATTATGACGGAGCACATCTCACAGCAGATACTGTACACACGCCATCCGGAGCCGGAGAGTCATTACCGTCTGGAGAATCCAAGTGAGTAATTCCCTGGCCCCTTTTGTATTTAGCTCTAGACTTAACACCAAATCCCGAAATCCTGCCCCAAACCACAATCGCAACGCAGTGATACTGAAAGTGGTCGCCACACTAATACGCCAGTCGAAGCAAACGGAGTCCTTGATCGAGGTGAAGAAGCTCTTTCTGCAGGACATGACCCTGCTGTGCAATAACAATCGGGAGAATCGTCGCACCGTCCTCCAGATGTCCGTCTGGCAGGAGTGGCTCATTGCCATGGCCTACATTCATCCAAAGAACACCGAGGAGCAGAAGATCAGCGATATGGTCTATTCACTGTTCCGGATGCTGCTGCATCATGCCATCAAGCATGAGTATGGCGGCTGGCGCGTCTGGGTGGACACTCTGGCCATTGTCCACTCGAAGGTCTCGTACGAGGAGTTCAAGCTGCAGTTCGCCCAAATGTATGAGCACTATGAGCGACAGCGCACCGATAACATCACCGATCCCGCCCTGCGTCAGGCCCGCCCCATTAGCACCATCAGCGGCTGGGAGCGTGAGGAGCTGCAGCAGCAGCAAAACGGTCCGGTTGCCAGCGCGCAGCAACAGCAGCCGCAGGAGTCGCAGCAGCCGCAGCAGTCACAACAACAGCAGCTGCCGGACATAAAGAGTGCCGTTTCGATAGCCTCGCTGGAGGATGTGCCACCCGTGGAGGAGGAGGCTGAGGAACTGGAGCTGGAGAGCATCGATGTCGATGCACAGGAGCTGCAGCTGACAGGCGATGCGGCCGCATCTACTACCGAGTCTTGCGTCTGTGCTGCCAATGGCGAGTCAGCCGAAACGGAGCAGGAGCAGCAGGAAGAGCCGCCTAACAAGTCGGTGATTGCCAACATTTCGGATGTGTACAACGAGCAAATTAAAACAGACGAGGCGCTGCAGAGCGCTCCGGCGCCCACCTGTAATGGCACTCTCAGTCCCAGTCCGGCGGAGCAGACGGAGCAGCCGGAGCAGACGGAGCTGCAGGCCACAGCTGGTGGCCAGGCGGCGCTCAAGGAGACGCTCCAAATTGGCGAAGACTTGGAGGAACTGGAGCTGGCGACGGCTAAGGATGCGCTCGATGTGGAGCAGCATGTGGCACATGTGCTGCAGGTGTCCGAAGCCGCGTTGAACGATTGCAAGCTGACCGTCGATGACGTGTTGCAGGAGTCCTCCTCGGTGCTGAAGGACGAGGAGATCGAGCTGGCTGTCAACGAGGTGGTGCAGGGCGTGCTCAAAAGCGAGAAGAAGACGCCTGCGCAGGACAATGTCAGTCTGCTTAACAGCAAGAATCTGCTCAACCACAACAACAACAATAACAACAATGCCACTGAGACGGAACAGCAGAACAAGGAGCAGACGCAACAGCTGGAAACCGAGGTGAATGCCAACGAGATCCACAGCAGTGCCGGCGAGGAGCCAACAGGTACGACAACGACGACGACAACAACAGCAACAATAATGGCGGAGGAGAAAAAAGAGGCGCCTGAGCTGGTTCAGGAGCAGGAGTCGAATACAGCAGCAAGCAATCAAAAGACTGAAGATGCGGCCAACAAGCTGAACAACAACGAGAAACTGGAGGCCAGCAGCAACAGTAGCAGCCAGGAGCCAGCAGCAGGAGCAGCAGCAGCAGGAGCAGAAGCAGTAGGAGCAGTGGCAGACAGTGGCGACCAGGAGCTGAGCTCAACGCTGAGCACTAGCAACGCGAGCAGCGAGGAGCTAACGATGTCCATAACAAACGCATGTCCCGTGAGCACAGAGCCCGAGCTGGAGGAGACAACGGAGGATGTGGTGGCCACAGCGGTGCGCGACATTGTCGAGCAGCTCATCGACAAAGTAATCGATGCAGCCGAGGCCGAAGCCAAAACCGCAACCAAAACTGAAACCGCAGCCGAAATCGAAACTGAAACCAACAACAACGAGGTGCAAAAGGAAGCCACAAAGCAGGCAGCTGCAGCTGCAGAGACAGAGACAGCGACAGAAACAGAGACAGAGACAGCGATAGAAACAGAGACAGACGCAGAGACAAAGACGCAGCCAGACCAGGAGCAGGCGAGCGTTGCCGCCGCTGCCGAGGAAATCGTACACGAGATGGTGGAAGCAGCACTCGATCTGGCCGAGGAACAAGCAGAACCAGACCCAGACCCAGAGCCAGAGCCAGAGCCAGGCAAGGAACAGGTGTCTGGCATTGTGAACGCCGTGCTGGACACTCTGGTGGATGAGACCGTGAAAGCTGTGGCCGCCGAGCAGACCACACAGACCTCGCCCACGCCCGACGAGCAACCAGCACGCATGGAGTCACAAGCCACGTCAATGGACGCAACAGTTACGGTGCGCATGAAGCCCACCGAGGTGGACTCAACCACGCAGACAACGCCAAAGAACGAGGCGGACGCTCTAAAGAGTCTCGACGAGCTGCCCGATGCGATGGATGATGATGCACAAGATCCAACCAGCCCAGACGCTGACATCGATGCCGACGACGACGACGACTACGCCGCACAGCAGGCACAGCCGGCGACCATTACGTCAGCTGCTATAGCAGAAGGCGGCACACAGCAGGAGGGCAATCATTATGGTAAGTACTTAGGAGCCGCATTTTGGCTTCAATCAAACAGTGGCTCACAATCAATGTGCATTCCACAGTTGCGGCAGCGGCTGCGGCTGCGGCTGCAACCGCCGGTGCCGAGGGCAAGCAACAACGCTCCAAGTCCGGCTCCACACGGCCCATGTTCAGTCCGGGACCGACACGTCCGCCGTTTCGCATACCGGAGTTCAAGTGGTCCTACATACATCAGCGACTGCTCAGCGATGTGCTCTTCTCGCTGGAGACGGACATCCAGGTGTGGCGCAGCCACTCCACCAAGAGTGTCCTTGACTTTGTCAACTCCAGTGAGAACGCCATCTTTGTGGTGAACACCGTTCATCTGATATCCCAGCTGGCCGATAATCTGATCATTGCCTGTGGCGGGCTATTGCCGCTGCTCGCCAGCGCCACGTCTCCCAATGTAAGTTGCCCAGTCTGTTGTCCCCTAATCTTTTAGCTAACGAGCGTGTTCTCTCTCAGTCGGAGCTGGATGTGCTGGAGCCCACACAGGGCATGCCACTGGAGGTGGCCGTATCCTTTTTACAGCGCCTCGTCAATATGGCCGATGTGCTCATCTTTGCCACATCGCTGAACTTTGGCGAACTGGAGGCCGAAAAGAACATGTCCAGTGGCGGCATCTTGCGCCAGTGCCTCCGTCTCGTCTGCACCTGTGCCGTGCGCAACTGTCTCGAGTGCAAGGAGCGCACGCGCTACAATGTCGGCGCCTTGGCACGGGATGTGCCCGGCGCGGCGCATCTTCAGGCGCTCATACGCGGCGCTCAGGCATCGCCAAAGGTAGAACAATTGTACTCAACTTAAAACGCATTTCCAACACTGTTTTACGCTCTTACAGAACATTGTCGAGTCAATCACCGGTCAATTATCGCCCGTCAAGGATCCTGAGAAGCTGCTGCAGGACATGGACGTTAATCGTTTGCGTGCCGTCATCTATCGGGATGTGGTGAGTGCCACATGACTTTCTCAAATCTCCAATTGTTTCTTTTCCACTTGTGCCATTCCATGTGGTTTTATTCCAATTAGTTGTCTTCCTTCCTTTACAGCCAGATAACAACCCATTTCCAATTATTTTTCATTTCCAGTCGATCCATTACCAGCTGTTTCATTTCCAGTTGTTCCATATCAGTTGTTTCATTTCAAGTCTCTCTTTTCCCAGCTGGTTATTTTCTGGTCAATAGCCCGTTTACCATTTTAAATCATCCTCACTTGTTTCATAGCCAATTGTTTCAATTCCAGTTGTTCCTTTCACAGTTATTTTCACTTCCCGTCCACTTTTCATGGCTCCACCCCCCCCCCCCCCCTCCTCCTTTATTTCTAGTGATTCCCATATGTTTCATCCCCTATTTGTACTATTTATATTACTCTCTTTCTCACACACGATCTCTTTCTCTGTTCACTTTGTCTTCCACAGGAGGAAACGAAACAAGCGCAATTCCTATCGTTGGCCATCGTTTACTTCATTTCAGTGCTGATGGTGTCCAAATATCGGGACATTTTGGAACCACCCGCAGAGCCGCAACTGCAGCGTCAATCGCCGGTGATGCAGCGCAGCGCGGGCAGCGGTAAGTGTTACCAGTTAAGAGCTCTAGATCTAGGACGATAAACAATATGAAATTTCCTCGTACCTAACGGCATTTGCCACGTTTTACAACATTATTTCTCGGGCGGGTACTTGATATTATTGATTATTTTAAGTTTTCCGTTTCATATCGTTTCGCAATTCTCATGCGTTGCATTTGCTTTGCTAATTTGCGTCTGTCGCTCGTCTTTGTCTTTGCCTTTGTCTCTATTTCATTTCGTTTCGTTTCGTTTTGTTTTGTTTCGCTTTACGTTTGCTGCACCAAATGCTACACAGTTCGTTTATTGGTTCTCTTCGCTCTCTAACTAAATATATATAATTCTCTCTTCGACTTTCTCAAATGAATTCGAATACTTTTTGTTCCATTACTGCGTTCCATTACATTATGTCATCTATTTTATTTTTCTTCATTACCTTACTTTGCAGCTTGTTTTGCGTTTGCATTCCTTTTGCGTTAACAGCTGCTAAGCGAGTCCCTAAATATTTTAATGGTAGCAGAAACTCACTGCCACTGACCACTAGTAATCTTAACAGCACCACCACCAACGGCAAACACCAACGCCACCAGCTCCACCAGCACCGCCGCCACCACCACCACATGTAGTGTGATCTCAATGCAAGCAGTCAACGTGTGTGTGCGTGCGTGGTTGTGTGCGTGTGCGTGTGCGTGTGCGTGTGCGTGTCTTACTTAGTCGAAGCAAAAGGCGCACTTTGCACCAGTTACACCGCCCTGCCCACCAACAAAACCCTGCGACCGCCCCTTTAACCACCCCTGTTAATACGGACCACTTAATCATTAGCTTTTAAGAACGCTCATCGAGTCCATTGTTGGAGATACTATTCAGTTTTTCTGTGTTTTATTTCATCGTTCCGTTTTCTAATGATTTCATTTCACGCTGCTTTTTCGGATTTATTGTATAAACAAAAAAAAAAAAAAAAACAAACAAACTACCAAAAAATACCAAAATATATACCAACAAAATACCAAAAATAAAAATACTTTGTAACTAATACCAAATTAAACGTATAAAATGAAAAATGCTCGCCATAACTCCCCCACGCTCCCATCAAAATCCAACGCAACCCATTCTGCTCTGTGTGTGTGTAAATATGAAATCCCGACCACGCCCACCCGACAAATAATTTGAATGGATGCCAACAATAATAATAAAAACGACAACAACATTAGAAGCCGCCAGCGCACGTCCCTTGTTCCCGCAATGGTCGCATCACGTCTATCCACAATTTCTGCCCGAGTCACATCAGAATCATGTGGCCACCGCCTCAATGCAACAGCAGCAGCAGCAGCTGCAACAACAGCAGCAGCAGCAACATTATTATCAACATCAGCCACACAATCATAGCCATCATCATATGGCCGCCGCCTACTATCAACATCAGCAGCAGCAGCAGCAACAGCAGCAGCAGCAGCAACAGCAGCAACAGCAGCAACATCAGCAGCAGCAGCAACATGCCGCTGCACAGCAGCAACAGCTGGGCAACATTTCACCACTGCCACCGATGGGCGGCGCACACTCGACCAGCTCGTCGGCCAGCTCGACAGCTACATCACAGCCAGCGTCCAGCTCATCGCTGTCCTCGCTGGCCTCGCAGAGCCAGCAACAGGTGAACACGTCGGCAACACTGCATCGCCAGCAACTGCACAAGCACCAGCAGCAACAGCAACAGCAGCAACAGCATTTTCATGCCCACCAGCCGCACTATGCGCTGATCAATGGCCACCAGCAGCAACAGCAACAGCAGCAGCAGCAACAACAGCTGCTTAATGGCAAGCACAACCATTATGCTGGTCAGGTGGAGAATGGCACCACCGGCGGTGGTTATCACACGCATCCACATGCATTTATGCGGGGCCTGCAAATGAATGGAGAGCAGCAGCAGAATGGAATCGGCGCTGCGGAGCATCATCATGCAGCTGTCCTCAATGGACATGCCAGCAGCAACAGCAGCACCAGTAATGGCAACAGCAACAGCAACAACAACGGCAACAGCAACAATAACAACAGCAACAAAAACAGCAACAGCAACAACAACATGCGCAATTTACGCAATGGAGGTGCAGCAACAGCTGCTGCTGCTGCTGCTGCTGCAGCTGCTGCAGCTGCTGCCGCTGGCGCCGGCGGCGGCTGCCTGGGCATGGGCATGGGCATGGGCATGGGCATGAACATGGGCATGGGCATGGGTATGAACATGAGCGGCATGGGCGGAATGGGATTGAGCGATGGCGGCTCTGCATATAAAACGAATGCCATCAATAACAATTATCGCTACAATGGACGGAACGCCAACGTATCTGGCTCTGGAACAGGTATCGCTCGTTATGAGTATTGTAGTGTGTAGTTTATGTCACGCTCTAACTAACTATTTAACACTATCTATCTATCTATTTATCTATCTATCTATCTATCTATCTCTCTCTTTCTCTCACTTAATATGTATGTGTCTGTATATACTTGTATATTTAGTTATTATAAACTTTTGAACTCTATCTTTGCTCTCTCTTACTCTCTCTCTCGCTCTCTCTCTCTCACTATACATCTCTGTCTCTCTTAGACCACACTCAAGTAGTTGTTGCTGCTCACTGTTTCTTTACCTTTATGTTTTCTTTGCGTTTCATTCCATTTTCGGTTCGTATTTCTTGTATTATTATCCCGTTCTTTGTTTTATTCCGCTGCGTTGCATTTCTTTACGCTCATTTCATTCCATTTGCCTCTCAATGTCTAGTTTTAGCTGTAGCTGCTATATAACTATCCTATATAGCCCATAAATGTGTATCTATTGTCCTCTATGTTTAGCTTAGCTCCTAGCCAACTCTCCCTTTCTCTCTCGCTCTCTCTCTCTCTCCCTTTCACTCTCTGTCTATCTCGCTCTCTCTCTCTATCTATCTATCTAGATGTTTTCACCTTACTCTAAACTCTTGCTCCACAATACGCGCAAAAGTGATTTTCATTTCAAATGTCATTACGCGTATGTGTGTATGTGTGTGTATGTATGTGTATATATATAGGTGTGTATGTGTATGTGTGTTATTAAACATCTAGGCCCCACACATATGTATATATTAATGGGCAAACTATTGCCAGCAAATTGACTCCGAGTGTAAATTGGCACAACTACACCCACTCGTCCCCTTCATTGATTTCTTGTCACGTATTTCATTTTTTTGGTTTAGCCTCAATTTTTGTTGATATAATATTTTGTGCGTGTTTTGTATTTTAATTTCTTAATAGGAGCTTAAGAGGTACTTTATTTGCATTTATTGCCCGTCGTTTTATGCCTAATTAATTCCATTTTAATGATTGGAATTGCACATTTAAAATCAATACAATGCAATCTGCTTGAATAAGTTTTGGGCAAAAATTGAATTGATATCAATTATTTAATCAATGCAATTCATCAATAATGCAACATTCAGTGATAACAATCCTTTTATCTTTGCATAACAACAATGTCGATTGTATTGCTAATTTTTTGTGCGCAAATCTGAGCGCATTGTGCAACAAAATAAATATTCATAAAAAGCATCCACTATTTCATTTCGAATTCCAATTATCAGTTGTCCCACTCATTTTTCACCCGTTGGGTGGGAGTTAGCCAAAAGCGCTTAAAACCCAACGTAGATTTTGGAAACTACGGTTAAAGCCAATCGCGTGAATATTCACAATTCACACCAATTTTCCACTCACGTGGGTGAAATCTTTTTAGTCCTCAGTATAGATAATTAATAGGCAATGTCACTTAAAGAAAGTCAAATTCTAGTTTCCCCTTTCATATTGAAAACTTACAAGCATTAATAATTTATATTCAATTTTGTTGCACAGCCCCAAATTGTTAGATATCCAAATAAGTTTAAAGCCAATCGAGTGAATATTTACAATTTCCGCCAATATTCCACTCTCGTAGGTGAAATCTTTTAAATCAACAGCATTGATAATTAGTGGGCCATGTAACTTATAAAAAGCGAAATTCTAGTTTCCCCTTTCATATTACCAACTTAAAAACATGCATAATTTAGATTGAAAATAAGTTTAAAGCCAATTGCGTGAATATTCACAATTTCCACTAATTTTCCACTCTCGTAGGTGAAATTTTTTAAATCAACAGCATTGATAATCAATAGTCAATGTCACTTATAGAAAGCCTAAATCCTAGTTTCCCTTTTCATATTGAAAACTTACAAGCATACATAATTTGGATTGAATTTTGTTGCACAGTGTACTCATGTGAATAGCCCGACTAAAGCTCTAGGGCATTAAAGGCGCATTATTGGGTTTTGGAATAATTCCAATTCATTTTTTTTCTTTTTGTTTTTTTGTATAAATTGTTAAACAATTTGCTGCACAATGCACATTTACTTAAATATTTATTTATTCCATACATACAAAATGCTTTAGTTTGATTGCGCCGGTTATGCAATTATTGTCCCAAAAGTCAATTATTTGATTTGATACCAAATTTAATTAGCTGCCATTTTTTGTTTGTTGTCGGCGCAAAAACATTTTTTTTAATTATTGCGAAAAATGTCGATTCGATTTAAAATTTTGATTTGAAAAGCGACGTTTGCTAATTTGTTGACAGTTGACAACGACAAAGAACAGAATGCAAACAAACGCTAGTGTGTGTGGCTGTGTAAGTGTGAGCGAGTGTGTGTGGGTGTGTAAGTGTGAGCGAGTGTGTGTGGGTGTCTGTGTCACCAGTTTTGCGTGTGCGTTGTTCTGTCAGGTCATGGGGCACAGTGTTATCCATTTATGCTTTTAAAGTGTGCAATCTATCTTTGTAACTAGGGTTAGCACATACACACATACATACACACACACACACACACACACACACACAGACACACACATAGACACACGCAAATGCAGCCACAATGACAGTACAATTTTTGATAGCTGGGCGGGGCAGCAGCTGATTGGGGGCAGACGGCTCTAACTCATCATTTTCATGTGCTGTCAGCACACATTTCATTTCATTTATCTTCATTTGCTTAGCACACACACTCACACACACACACACACACACACATATAGTCAAACGCATAGAAATTCCAGCAGGGCAAAAAAGTAAAATCTAGTTCGTTAATTTTCTATTCCATAAAAATAAATTAAAGGCACATTCAACATTTATTATTTTCTTTGGCTCGCATAAAATATTTGGCAGACAGGCCATTAAAAAAAAAGAACGATACGCGTGCATTTAAAAAATGGCTGCCTGGACACTCACACACACACATACACACACAACAGTATTAATGGCAGCGACAAAAATGTAAATTAGTCGCAGAAAAGCAGCAAAAACAACACGAATATAAATTAAATGAAAGAGAGAGAGAGAGAGAGACAGTGAGAGAGAGAGTGAGAAAGAAGTGAGTGGGAGGGGTGGGGGGGGGGGGGTGTAAGAACTGGAGCGAGGGACAGCAGCAGTTGGTACAGCTGTAAAAGCCGATAACACGCTTTCAATGTTGAAACAAAAGTAATTTGCGGCCTGCACACACCTCTGGCTTCCCCTCTCTCTCTCTCTCTCCTCTGCTCCCATTCTTGCTCTTTGTCGCCCTTTATGTGTGTGTCTGTGTGTCTGTGCATGAAAAACGGCCACACTGGGAAATTATTACAAATTAAGCGCAAAAAAAGCAGCAGCAGCACGAAACAAGCCACACAACACAAAATAAGAGAAGCATAGCATACTTAACAGCGCAGGCCATAAATTTCAATTAAGACGTTAATCAACACTGTAAAGCACGCTGTTACAATAAAGGCCGCACACAATAGCCGGCCAATTGGCTAATAAGTTGGCTAAAAGCGGGCGCACCAGCGCACCGCCTGCGCCTGCTGCACTTCCAGATACTTTTGTATCTCTAGATTTAATTATGTATCCGTGAGATGCATAGCTTCAAAACTGCAATTCCATGGGCGAACAAATGGCCTAAGCCCCAGCGTTAGCAGCCATAAAACTTTACATATTTCAAAATTACTAGCGAACAATGGGTTGAGCGGGCGTGGCAGCAATGAAAATTAGAAATTCAAATGCACAGTCATAACAGCTGCAGCGGATAGTAACTAAAAGAGAGAAAGAGGTAGAGAAAGGGCTGGCCGGCGGTAGACACACAGACACATTCAGCTAGAGATTAGTTGCCAGCACTTTAGACGCCAAAAAGAATATAATAAAAAAAAAAATATACCAAATGCTGCTAAAAACTGTTGTAAAATTATAAAACTATGCACTGACTCTCACTCTGGCCTCCATCTATTGCTATTTCACTCTAGTTTGGTCAGCGGACTGCAAGCTTGTGTCCTTGTAATGTGTGTGCATGTGCTTAGGTATGCAAATTTGAGCTCTTCAACATCAGCTACATGCAGTCAAAGCCATTTGACTAATTAATGCAAAAGTTAAACAATTTTCACACCTCAAAACTGTCAAGCAACTGGCTGCCTTTCAGCCTGCCAAACATATTTGAAGTTTCATTTGCTCAAATCCAAGTTTTCGCTTGTCCATTAAGATGGTCTAAAATTTAGTTGTCCAATCGAGAGACTTACCCAACGGCTGCAGACGAATTTTCATTTATCTAATAGTTAAATGCATGCGGACAGGCAACTTACATAAGCTATGTCATATTTGTTTTGCTGTCTGAAACAGAAATCAATTTCCAAAGACCTGCTTCTTATGTGCCTGTCAAAGTTAGTCGGCGGTTTCGATATGTTCTTCAAATGCATACCATTCGCTCTGACAGCAGAAAAAAAATAACAAGCTTATGTCAAAGGTAGAAGCCCCTTTGACGTGCTGTCAAAGCAGCTTTTGTTATTTTACTTTCAAAATTTGTCTGTCAACATTTAGCATTCAGTTTATTCCCGCGCTGAATATTTGATAGCGACTTGATGGTAAATCTGGCAGCACTGCCATTGCAAATCTGGCAGCACTGCCTACTTATCAAATGGGGCCTTGCCAGATATTGAATGCATTTGTATACGCATTGCTAATGCTTGAAAAGGGTGTATTGCTTATGTGTTTGTTTACGAACTCGAAAACTATATGAGCTACAGACTTGACATATGAAATATAAATTCTTATATACCATCAATATTCTTATTATTGACAAATACCGAATTTAAGATGGTTTTTGTAAGCATAACTCGAAAATTATGGGAGTATAGAAAAGATATTCGTTTCTTAAAGATAGAGCCTTGGGCTTTGGCATGCACACACACTACAAATTTTAATGCATATCAGACTGTAAATACCCAAGTTAATTAAGAGCGCATACATCATGAATCATATGGGGCAGTCGCTGCCTAAAGCTGACATTAATTTCAACTTGACGTTAAGTTCAAGGTATCCACTAGTCGGGCACTGCCTTCGGGGTCATTCAATTAAAACTAAACTGCTTTTCAAATAGCTCGAAATCGATTGGGGTCAAAAAGATTACGTGCCGAGAGTAAACATTGAGCTGCATAGACAGTAAAGGCTAATTAGAAATCATATTGGCAAAAGGAACGCAACTTAAGAAAATGATGTATAGAATATCGCATCATTCATGTAATTTAAAAGCTCAGTTCTCTAACAAGATTGCCTGGAACCCAAGCGTAATTGAAATATGAACTGGGCCTGAAATTGATTGTAAGCTGGAACAAGAATTTACGCATAGCTTAAAATACTTGCAGGAATAACTCGCTTTTGCCTGGCTGTACGATGTTTCTCTAGCTTAAAGACTCTTGAGTGTGTGTGTGCGTGTATGTGTGTGTTGTGAATGCGCTGCGCTGAGTTTGAGTTTTTTGTATGATACTTTAAATGTGTGCACACAGCTTAGCGACTATGAATACCTATTTTCCAAATTACATACTTATATGTAACTTATTCAACAGTTATATACATATTTATATATATATATATATATTTATATATACAGCTTCTGCAGTTGTGCTCAAATGATTTACCTTGGCGCAGCTGTAGAGGTTATTAAATACACTTCAATATCGTATAAATTTGTGCTTAATTAAAAGCTTTCATATTTATCTAGATTTTATAATATTTATCTGTTTATTTATCTCTGATTTATTGTGCTCTCTTCTCTTGAACAGGCGGCCGTCAGATTCAGGATAGCGATTACGAGATTATCGTCGTTGATGAGAATAATCCCTCGGTGCTGGCGGATAATGATTCCCACTCCAGTGGACCGCCATCCATAAAGGTGAGTACCATTCAAGACGCGTTAGTTGGGTGTGTGTGTCTGTGTGTGTGTGTGGTGGGAGTGTGAGTGCTTGTCTGTGTGCGCGTGTTTGAAGTAAAATTCAAGTAACTGAAGAACAAGTTTAATCCTAGTATAACTGAGGGCTGGGTTCGGGGAGAGGACGGGTTTGCTTGGCAAACTCACTCTCCCTGGTTAAAGTTTCTAGTGGGAAGCACTTCTTGAGTTCAGTTCTTAAACACTTTGCATGGCAGTTTGAATGTCACTTAGATGAATGAAACTTCCCTCACTTCTCTAAACTACAAATAAGTCGAAACTTGCATTAACTTTTAACTGAGAAGGAGAGTGCCTGCGTGTGTGTTGGTTTGTGTGCGGGAACTTATGTGTATGTGCGTAGGTTAGCTTAATTTATAAAAGTAAAAAAAAACAACAAAAAACAACATGAACAAGCAGAACAACAACAATGAAGCATGTTTTATAAATCAAACACTAAAACGAAGCAACTCAATCAAAACAAACTGTCACAGGCTAATATTAACAACAACAATAACAACAACACTAAGACAACAACCGCAACAACAACTACCGCAACAACAACAGCTACAACAACAACAAGAACAACAACTAAAGATACAATCAAAATTCAACAACAACCATTGTCACCACCCAAGCCAATGGTCCCAAAAAAATTACCAAAGGTAACAACTAATAAAAATTCCATACAAACAATTACCAAAAATTGCAAAATACTGCAACAATAATTTGCAATAATTTGACAACAACAACTTTAAAGCAGTCTCACCCACACTCTCACACACACACACACGTACAGCAACAACAACCACAACGTTTGTACCGCTGCCAATCACAAAAAAAATAAAAAAAACACCATGTCAATTACGAAGTTTCTTATGCACCCAATACTCATATTCGTACCCGTTAATACATGTAGTCCACAATTTATAATTCATTAAACTTTATTTTCGGCATGCCGAATTATAAATAGCCTTGCAGAAAACTAGGTAGTAATATAGTATATAGATTATTGAGATCATACTCCGATTTCAGCTCTAAATCGTTTGATTGTGAGAAGGGAGAAGCACAGCGAGAACTTCATTAAATATTCCAGCTAGACACAGAAAACAAAAGAAGTAGAATCGATAAGTTCAGCTAAAAGCAAAGCAAGAAAAGCGAAGGCTCAGTAAGTCCAGAACACACACAACTAGACTAAAGCAAGAAGCATAGTGTTTAAGATTTTAAACCAAGAAGCAAATAGCGAATAGTGTTTAAGTGATAGTCGCTGTAATTCGATAAGCAAACAAATAAGTTAAGAGCGAAGCGAGAAGTAAATTGACTTGATAAGTGAGAAGCCTATCAAGAAGTTTAGTGAGAAGAATTGAAAAAAACGAACACTCAGTAAAGCGAGAAACAAAGTCAAGTGCAAAATAAAATACATGCTAATAAAGCGAGAACTGAAGCAATAAGTTGAGTGACAAACAAAACAACACGCTAAGCAGTTAAAATCGAAGTTAGAACCGTCATAAAGTGAGAAGCTTAAAGCTAGGTATGCTGCGCGGTAAAGTAACAGAATATAGCATTAAAAGAAGAAGCCTATTGAGAAGCATCAAAAAGAACCGATTGTTGTACAGCACAAATCATAGGAAGACAAGAAAGATACTGAAGCGAGAAGCATAGTCAAGTGCCAGACAGAGTAACAAGTGTAGCTAGGCAAAGCGAGAAGCAAAGCAATAAGTGACAACCAAATCAGAAAGCTTAGCAGTGAGAAGCGAAAAGGAAGCCGTAATGAAGCTTAAAGCTGAGCGATATGCTTATTAAGGCAAAAGCCAAAAGCATTTAAATGCATGGAAAAGCGCGAAGGGAGAAGCTTTTTAACAGTTTCATCGGAAATTTAATAAATATTAATATCATTAATCATCGGAAATTTAATAAATATAAATATATAAATACCGTATGATATTAGGGCAAATGTTGAATATAATTAAAAATGAGTTAAAAACCTCACTTAAATTCATGTATTTTTTTGATTACACAGCAACCATTTGAACAGATACGTCAGACTCTCTGCAAGGCTATTATGAATAAAACATTTTATGTTATTTAAGAATTTATAACCTTTATTGACATTTCCTGTGTGTTAATTAGTGCACCGACCACGCCCACAGCCCACATGCCACAGTCGACAGTCCACAGTCGAAGCAAACACAAATCATCTGAAATCATTTATTTTGTTTGCATTCGTAAACAGTTGTCGTTTTTGTGCATTTCGTTGGAATGAAATGTGTTTTTCAGAAAAAGAATTTTTCATTTCGTTTTTCCGTTTATCAGTTTTTCATTTACTTCTCTTTCGCTCCCTCCCTCCCTCTATTGTCCTGTCTCTCTGCCTTTCTCTGTTGCATTTAGAGAGTTCGGTTTGTTTGTCAATTTGTAATTTAATTTCTTTGCGTTTTGTGGCCGCACAAATGTGACGTTGCATAATTGCAAATGTCCAACTGAGCTGAGCAATCAATATTGCATCAATGGCGCAATGTATCAGTAAATCATGCAATCAATTAACCAACACAATGCGACATTTACACAGAATTGTTCACTCACAGGTATTAAGTCGAATGCAACGTATCTAACTATTTTACAGTTGAGCTCACAGGTAATCCTTGTCCGGGACATGAAACGACATTAGACACTTTTCCTCTTCGCTGAACCGCAAACCGCAAACCGAGTTCAGCCTCAAACCTCTTGTCACAATACATTTAAGCCCCGTCCAGTTCGAGTTGACAAAACTGATGACATTTCGCTGGAATATGATATGATTGTGCTGACATTGAGCGTTTTAATTAGGATTCTTTAGACTCTCTTTTAGTCTGCATTTGGTACCATCACAATTTGCTTCTTTTAGCAAAAAAGTCCAGTGAATGGCGTAACATCAACTGCTAGCAAAGAGAAGCTTGCAGCTTATCTTTTCGGTTCAAGTAAATACTCCAAATATTTATCGAACCTGAAACTTATTTGCATATTTAACTAGTTTGGAATTTGACAATATGTATTCTGGTGAATTTGTTAAACTTTTGAATAAGTTTCGTATGTGAAGTGTGGAAGATATTCATATCTACAGCTCAATACTATGCCCACAGCCGATCTATTTAATTAGATAATTCTGTTGAACTGTCGACAATAATCAGATCCAGATATTTGAATTAGAATTCCACTAATATATTTGTAATATTCCTACACTTTAAGCTAGTTCCCTCTCCCACTCTCTCTTTCTCTCTCCCTCTTCCTCTCTCATATATCCCATTTATGGAATGAATTCAATTAACTCTGCCAATGAAAACCTCAAGAAATTTCTATTCATCGATGATTAATCTTCCTCTTGAGTTCTCTTGGCTGGGTACTTCAACATGGTATTCTATATTATATTATAGCTTAAATCTAACAGCATACCAAACCCAAACTTGCCCTTCGTCTTGTTTTATAAGAATCATAATTGCAGGGTATCTACAAGTCGGGCAGCTGCAGTTTTTTATTTATTTTGTAACTTCTTTTTCGTTTGTTTTAAAGGAGAATACGAATTGAATTGCTATTAAATGCAATCAATAATTCATTAAGCAATCTTCGCGCCAATCCGCGCATACAAACTCACACACTCACAAACTCACACACACACACACGCACACACACTTACACACAAGTTTGATTTGGCTGCGTGCACCACGTGATTTGTTGTGTGTCTCTTCGATTTGTTTGTGTATGTGTCTTGTGATTTATGTATGTTTATATCTATGTATATGTTATGCAATTAGTGTTACCAACTAGAATAACAATGCCGAATCACACACACACTGACACAGACACACGCACACACTTACGCACAGAGTAGCTCTTATCTTGTGACGCTCACGACGTGCCGTCTTCCGGTTTTGGGCTCTTAATGAACTGCCTGCATTATTAATACAGCAAATCCCCTGCCACGCCTCCCTCACCACGTTCTTCTCATCGTGTGTGTGGTTGTGCGCGTGTGCGTGTTTGTGTATTCAACGTAGTCCGCAAGTGTTATTCGAGCTTTCAGCCGAACCTAACAAGAGGCGATTGATTTCAGTTGCTGCAAAAGGATACGCAGGATATGCAGCATATTGCGTAGGCGCAACAGCTGCCACACACACCCACCCGCACACAACACACTCACACTGACACTCACACACACACACTCATACTGACACACACACACACATACACAGCTCTGCGAACACCCACTTGTGCCGTTTTGCTGTTTTTGTATTTGACAGTTGACATTTGTCAAACGTTTTAACAAAATTCTGTCATATGACCATCCTTTTGAACCCGTTCCTCCGCCCTTCCTCGCTTCCACGCACCACTGATATGCCCCACACAAGCCGTCTGTCCGTTATGTCCAGTTTGCCTAATGCCTATCGGATGAGCTGAATTACGTAATAGCAAAATTTGTTAAGTGTTGGCCAATCGGGGGATAGGGGGGTTGGGTGTTTGGGCTTGTGGCTTGCCTTTTATGTAAATCACAGCCCCCAATACACAAAAGGGTTGAGGGTCAGGCGGGGCATTTTGAAGGAGGGGAGCGGTGGGTTTGGTTAAGGGGTGACGGGTATTTCATATAGATCTGCTGATAACATTTTGTGCGTGGCGTTGACAAATGCATGTGTTGACAAGGACGTTGAGAGGACGTGGCTGGTCAACAGGATTTGAGAAGCGGACGAGCTGTGCCTTGCGCTCAGGAATTTTGATTTATTGTTCAATGTGCATAATTAATGCGCAAATGATACCAAAACACACAAACACACACACTCACACACACGCACGCACACATAAGCACGCACAAACACACACACACACTGCATAACTATCGCTGCGATTAAATACCAGGGCACGCCCAAGAGAACCATTTTAGACAATCGATAAGTTCGATGGCAGCTACTATCGAGACAACAGATAAGCTAAAGTCGGGAGATGCCTGTGATTAGCGACATGACGATAGATATGATAATGTGAATATTGATTAGAAGAGGGCCGTCATTCCAAAGTCGATGATTGAGTTAATCGATAGTAGTCATGAGCTATGAGCTCTCCTATGAGCTAGCGATGGTGCGTTTGCTGTAAGTGGCGATTATAGAGAGTCAATAGTGTATCGATAGCTAAAACTATCGACAATCGATAGCAAATACAAGCCAAGGAAATAGTTCTACAGCACTTTTTGTCGCCTTAGCACCTGCTTTGCCAATGCACCTCTCTCTCACGCCCTTCACCCCACAGAGCACAACTTGTTGTACATATATTGCACTGGCAACACCTCTCGATGAATCCCACATAAAATGCTTTTACACCAAAACCTCCATTGACTTTGATCTCACATTTCGTGTTATTCGCATCTAAAACTCGATCCATTTAGAGCGTCGATTCGGATGTGGTGTCTCTGAACATGAACTCGACAGAAAACGAAGTACCCGAAGTCGAATCGTCCAGCGATATTTTAGCCGATGATCACAAGCCAAGCAACTCGAACGACGAGAGCTGGACGGATGTCAATTTGAATGAGGACGCAGCCGTCCAGGCGGCGGCCAGTGGCGGCATTGTCGTGGGCCTCGTTGATGCCAGCGACAGCGCCAAGCACGAGCAGCAGCAACAACAGCAGCAACATCAACAGCAGCAACATCAGCAGCAACATCAGCAGCAGCAGCAGCAACAACAACAGGGCGTTTCGCGCGTGGGCATGGCCGTGGGCAGCGAGCGTGGCGATAAGCCCGACTCGGAAATATCGGTGGTGCGCGTGCCGGACGGCTATAGCGTTGGTGGTGCTGGTGTTGCCGCTGGCGCCGGCAATGCTGGCACAGTTGCTGGCACGCAGCAGCAGCGCACGCGACCCGATGAGCTGCCAATGAAGCCGCCGGCGCTGGTGGCGCAGCTGCCGCTGACGACGCCGTCGCGCGAGGCGAGTCTCACGCAAAAGCTGGAGATAGCTCTGGGTCCCGTGTGTCCACTGCTGCGCGAGATAATGGTTGACTTTGCGCCGTTCCTCTCCAAGACGTTGGTCGGCTCGCACGGCCAGGAGCTGCTGATGGAGGGCAAGGGACTGACCACATTCAAGAACTCACACTCTGTCGTCGAACTGGTGATGCTGCTCTGCTCGCAGGAGTGGCAGAACAGCCTGCAGAAGCACGCTGGCCTCGCCTTCATCGAGCTGATCAACGAGGGCCGCCTGCTCTCCCATGCCATGAAGGATCACATTGTGCGCGTGGCCAACGAGGCGGAGTTCATTCTCAATCGGATGCGGGCCGACGATGTACTAAAGCATGCCGACTTTGAGTCGCAGTGCGCCCAGACGCTTCTTGAACGGCGCGAGGAGGAGCGCATGTGCGATCATCTGATCACAGCCGCTCGCCGACGGGACAACGTCATTGCCAGCCGGCTGTTAGAGAAGGTGCGCAACATAATGTGCAATCGGCATGGCGCCTGGGGCGATGCCAACGGCATGGCCGCCATCACGAGCTCCATAACGGCCAGTGTGGGCCCGCTGGCGAAGAGCACCTACTGGAAACTGGACGCTTGGGAGGATGATGCTCGGCGTCGCAAGCGCATGGTACAGAATCCACGTGGCTCCTCCCATCCCCAGGCCACGCTCAAGGCGGCGCTAGAGAATGGTGCACCGGAGGATGCCATCTTGCAGACACGCGATGAATTCCACACGCAAATTGCGGTCTCCCGTGCACATCCATCGTCGCAGCACAACAGCGAGTTGTTGGACGATGCCGAGCTGCTAATTGAGGATCGGGAACTGGATCTGGATCTGACCGGACCCGTGAATATCAGCACCAAGGCGCGTCTGATAGCGCCTGGCCTGGTGGCGCCCGGCACTGTTTCCATCACGAGCACTGAAATGTTCTTTGAGGTGGATGAGGATCATCCGGAATTCCATAAGATCGATGCCGAGGTACTCAAGTACTGCGATCATCTGCATGGCAAATGGTACTTCTCCGAGGTGCGCGCCATTTTCTCGCGTCGCTATCTGCTGCAGAATGTGGCACTGGAGATCTTTTTGGCCAGCCGCACCTCGATTCTGTTCGCCTTTCCCGATCAGCACACCGTCAAGAAGGTGATCAAGGCACTGCCACGCGTTGGCGTTGGCATTAAGTATGGGATACCGCAGACCCGTCGCGCCTCCATGATGTCACCCCGCCAGCTGATGCGCAACTCGAACATGACGCAAAAATGGCAGAGACGCGAAATCTCCAATTTTGAGTACTTGATGTTCCTCAATACGATTGCCGGACGCACGTACAACGATTTGAACCAGTATCCGATCTTCCCTTGGGTGCTGACCAATTACGATTCAAAGGATCTGGACCTCAGCCTGCCATCCAACTATCGGGATCTGTCCAAGCCAATTGGCGCACTGAATCCTTCGCGTCGTGCCTATTTCGAGGAGCGCTACGAGAGCTGGGACAGCGATACAATACCCCCATTCCACTATGGCACCCACTACTCAACGGCCGCATTCACCCTTACCTGGCTGGTGCGCGTGGAACCCTTTACGACCATGTTCCTGGCGCTGCAGGGCGGCAAATTTGATTATCCCGATCGGCTATTCTCGTCCGTATCGCTGAGCTGGAAGAACTGTCAGCGTGATACGTCCGATGTCAAGGAACTGATACCGGAATGGTATTTCCTGCCTGAGATGTTCTACAATGCATCCGGCTACAGGATGGGACATCGCGAGGACGGCGCCCTGGTGGATGACATTGAGCTACCCCCTTGGGCCAAGTCCCCAGAGGAGTTTGTGCGCATCAATCGCATGGCCCTCGAATCGGAGTTCGTCTCCTGCCAGCTGCACCAGTGGATCGATCTGATATTCGGCTACAAGCAGCGCGGACCGGAAGCGATCCGGGCCACCAACGTGTTCTACTATCTCACCTACGAGGGCAGCGTCGAGCTGGACGGCGTTCTCGATCCGGTGATGCGCGAAGCTGTTGAGAATCAAATACGCAACTTTGGGCAAACACCCAGCCAGCTGCTAATGGAACCGCATCCACCACGCAGCTCCGCCATGCATCTGTCGCCCATGATGTTCAGTGCCATGCCCGAGGATCTGTGCCAGATGCTCAAGTTCTATCAGAACTCGCCCATCATACACATCTCGGCGAACACCTATCCTCAGCTATCGCTACCCTCTGTGGTCACCGTGACCGCTGGTCATCAGTTTGCGGTGAATCGCTGGAACTGCAATTACACCGCATCCGTCCAGAGTCCCAGCTATGCCGAGTCGCCGCAATCGCCAGGCTCCAATCAGCCGCTGACCATTGATCCAGTGTTGGGTAAGTAACTTGAATTGTCTGTCTGTTTAGACTCTGATTAATGGCCCTCCCCCCCCCCCCCCCCTCCACCCAACAGCTGTGCATGGCACCAATAACAACAGCAACGCGGTCAGCCGTCGTCATTTGGGCGACAACTTTAGCCAAATGCTTAAGATTCGTTCCAATTGCTTTGTGACCACTGTCGACAGTCGTTTTCTAATTGCCTGCGGCTTCTGGGATAACAGTTTTCGTGTGTTCGCCACAGAGACAGGTGAGTCGGCTAGACCGTTGGCCTCAATCTCAATGCCCTTAACCCAAACCTTTTCCAATTCCCCATCTCTTTGTGCTCAGCGAAAATCGTGCAAATCGTCTTCGGCCACTTTGGCGTCGTCACCTGCATGGCACGCAGCGAGTGCAACATTACCTCGGACTGCTATATAGCATCCGGTTCGGCGGATTGTACGGTACTGCTCTGGCATTGGAATGCCCGTACCCAGAGCATTGTCGGTGAAGGGGATGTGCCCACGCCACGCGCCACACTCACGGGTCACGAGCAGGCAGTCACCTCGGTGGTGATCAGTGCTGAGCTGGGGCTTGTTGTTTCGGGTTCAACGAGTAAGTTTAGCTCGCTGCCGGCCTCAACTTTAGCCTAACACACGCACTCTCTCTCTCTCTCTCTCTCCTCCGCTCGATTTCTTTTCTTTTCTTTTTTCTATTTTTCTCGCCGTCTAGATGGACCCGTTTTGATACACACCACTTTTGGCGATTTGCTGCGCTCGCTGGATCCGCCCGCTGATTTCCACTCGCCGGAGCTGATAACTATGTCGCGCGAGGGCTTTATAGTCATCAACTATGACAAGGGCAATGTCGCGGCCTATACCATCAATGGCAAGAAGCTGCGCCATGAAACGCACAACGACAATCTGCAGGTAGGCATTCACTCGGCACTCGTTACACTCGGTACTCGGTTACATTTGCGCTCTCTCTTTTTCTTTCACTCGTTGCAGTGCATGCTGCTCTCGCGCGATGGCGAGTATCTGATGACCGCCGGCGATCGCGGCATTGTCGAGGTGTGGCGCACTTTCAATCTGGCACCGCTCTATGCCTTCCCCGCCTGCAATGCGGGCATACGCTCGCTGGCGCTCACTCACGATCAGAAGTAAGTTTGAGTTGTTATTCCAGCTTCATTTAAGTTACGCCTGCATTGCTTTCTCATTGCTAACCAATGTTTCTTTCTCCCGTTCTCTCTTTTTTTCTTTCTCTTTTGCCTGCTCTTTTTCGCTCTGCTCTTTCACAGATATTTGCTCGCTGGCCTGTCAACTGGTTCCATAATTGTGTTCCACATTGATTTTAATCGCTGGCATCATGAGTATCAGCAGCGCTACTAAACCAGCGAGTGCGTTCCACATTTCACACATTCCACGTTCCACATCCACACACACACGGACAGCTGAATCAAAATTGCGAGAGCGCCGCGAGCGATGTTCAGGCAAGTTCAAATGAGAGCTGCAGAGAGCGCAACGATGTACTTAAGAGCGTTGAAGAGAGCTCGGGTGTTAACTTGTTTCTTTCTACTTTTCATTTTTATTATCGATAGACATTTACAATTCTAGGCTAGTATGCAAACGAAACTATATATTTTTTTTTGTCTAGTATTACTTAAAATAGCATATTATCTAGTATGTTTGGTGTGAGCCAGTCGGAAAAACAAAACACATTTTTTTACTAGTTATACGGCGTGTAGTACGTTAAGTTACAGCAATGAGACAAGAAAAGCAAAAATATTAAATAAAAACACATAAGAAAAACAAAAACTAGAAGACAAGAAAGAACACAACAAGCAGCAATCGGCTTAAGTTGAGTAGTTTTAATAAGTGCAGACAAGAAACAGAAGAGTTAGTGTTTATAAAACGCAATAAGCAGTTAATAAAACTTAAAGAAAGCATAAAAAATTAAAATTAAAAACAAAAAGAACAGAAAGAAACTTTAATAATAACGTAGCAAAAGTTCTCACAAAATAGATAAACACAAAAGTAAGCAAAAATAACAAAAAAAGAAAACGCTTGAAATGAAACAAAACGAAGGTAAACGAAACGAAACGAAACGAAATGAAATGAAATGCAAAAAATAAAAATAAGAAATGAAACCAAGTGGCCAAATGTATGAACCCGACAAAGAGAGAAGCCAGAGCCGAGAGACGATAAGTGCAACAGGAGAGAAGCCAATTTTTTAAATACTTATATTTACATGCAAAGCTTCAAATAAAATGCTTAAGCTTGTGACGTCACAAGTGGCACAGTAACAGAGTCACAAAAAAGCTAAAAGATAAACAAAATAATTTACATAAAAATGAGTTTAATTATAAATGCCGTGGCAATAAATGCGAAGCTAAAGAATTCGCGAACAGCGCACTTGCTAAATACGCGATATTTTAATAAAAAAAATTACTAAAAATACAAAATGAAAAACTAGTTGAAACTAAAACTAAACTCAAGAGGAATAACTCAAGCTAAATAACTCAAAATTTATCAACACTGCTAAAAGCTACTAATAAATACTTAACAGGTAAAACATATAATATATATATTAAATATGCAACTTAGCAAAATGGCAGAGGATATCGTTTTTATAAATATATATAATAAATAACACGCATCCGCAATGTAGCACCGCACACAATTAAAAAAAAAAAACAAAAAAAAAAAGCCCAATCAAAACCTTGGCAAAATTTATTGTATTTTTTGCCGTTTTGCAACACTTTTCATTGCGTCCGAATGAGTGGAAAAGCAAACTATAAGTTTTGTTAGCTTAAAAAAAAAAAAACGAAAAGAAACCGAAACCTTAACCTTCCTTAAAACCTTAAACACGTACGTCCACTTTACATTTAACTGAAGCAAAAACATATAGTTCTTGATTAGTTTTTATAATATATGTATATCAAATGCTTATGGTTGTCTGTAAGACACAGCGCAACCGGCCTGAAGCGCAGCTTTAAGGGGAAACGGAAATGCCAACTGCGAAATTACGGTTAACTGCAGTGCCCACTTCCGGCTGTTGCTGCTGCGGCGGCTGCGCATATCAATTGATTTTTATTATTAATTCTTGTTATGATTATTTCGTGATGCAAAGATTTCTATGATGAGAATGTTTCCCCCAAAAGTCCATCCAAGTCGCCAATTGCACTTAACAGTTTAGATTTGTACATAAATCTAGTTACATATTTATATGCATACTATATACATATGGCTATGTAGACAGCTAACTTAACATTTGGTTGTATTAAAGGCCAACCCCCCCCCCCCCCCCCCGCACGCTATAAAAGGCCGCAATCAAAGCATTAATTATAAAAATAACAAGAAATTTCAAGAAAGACAAAGCTAACCAAATGATAAGCCCCCAACATTCTAGATGTTTGCTGTGTTGTGTAGAGAAAAACATAAAAAAAAAATTTATTAATTAACTTATTAAAAATTTCCGATTTTTTTTTTTTTTTTTTTTTGAGATAATCTTAAGTTTTTGTAACTTATCAACTGACTAATGCATCCATCCAAAATTTATGTACTTAAAGTTGAACTTTAATGCAGCTCAAAATGCTTGCAAAAAAAAAAAAAAACAAAAGAAATTCATAATAACAAACGTAATTATGAAATTTAAAAATATAATTAAAAATATTATTAAAATATAATTATGCAACAATTTAAATTGGTTCTATTTCATGTGTGTGTTTGAATCTGAGTGTGTGTGTGTGTGTTAAATTCTTGGTTAATTAGCTGTGCATTTTTTGGTCTTAATTACTACTAACTAGGCTTATGGCAGAAATTTCTATGAATATTATTGAAATTGTTGCTTGTGTTTATTGTTGCAATTTGTGGCATTATTTTCTCCATTTTTTTTCACTATTTTTTTCGCCTAATTATTTATGTACATAATTTGAGAGATCGCACAATGCATGCTAATGAAAAACTATGCTCTTAAATGAATACAAAATGCAAATAATTGATTATTTAATCTAATACCTTTGAGTTCACGTGCAAAAAGCATAATTAAATGATGCGTAAAAAGTGAAATAAAACATATAAATTAAATACTATTAGAAACTTAAATGTTGTACATAAATTGAGAACTAGCTAAAAAGTATGTGTGTACTTAATTTTAAAGCAAAAAGCAACAAAAAAATAACTATCTAAATATAACGAAATTTATGTTGATTACACGAGAAGCCTAAAACAAAATAAAAACTAACTAAACCGCCAAAATATGCAAGACGCAAAATTAAATAATTAAAGCTACAGCAAAGCAGAATTTACATTAAAAATATAAATATTTAAATTAAATAACGCTAAAATTAATAATTATATTATAAAATATATGAATATATAAAAAAATGTTTTTTTTTTGTAATATGATAAAAACTAGCTTTTAAAATAATGAAACGCAGCACAGCAAAAGGCATAAAAAAAATACAAAAAACCATAATTTTAAATTAATGCAGTTTTTATAGTATTAAATAAAAGTCAAATACAAAGGGCATGGCATACAGCATAAAGCGTAGTAAATTAATAAATAAATTACAAAAATAATAATAATGAAAATAAAATAAAATACTTACATGTTTTTATTAAACATAGAAAATGGCTGACAGTTTTAAATTTATACAAAACTAAAATTAAATATTAAATTTTGCAACTTAATATTTATATTTAAGCATTTATTCATGCACGAGCAAATTATTTTATTTGAATTAACCGCAGACACACACACACACACACACACACACACAACCCCAAGAACTTGAAGGAAAATTAAATTATTTAACTGCTGAAAAAGCTATTCACACACACACACACACACACACACACACACACGCGCACACAAAAGCACACACAGACAAGGCATATTTAAAGAAAATAAAAATGTTTGTGTAAAGCCTAAATGAAAAATAATTGAAAATTGAATTAAAAATTATAAATATTGTACTTGAATAAATATATATAAATATATTTTGTCAATAATGTTAATTAGCAACTAAAAAATGCAAGAAAAATAAATGAGCACATACACAGCCAAACATTTCACATATATACATAAGTATACGCACAGACCTAGATATGTGCGTATATATAGATATATATATTCGAAGCTAAAGATACAGCTACAGAATAATGTTCATTATTATGGCTAACATTTTTTTTGCAAAAGCTAACAAATTGATAAACAAAAAAATCAAGAATATACAAATAAAAATAAATTTATGCATATGGATACGCTACGATTCTAAAATAAAATTAAAACAAAAAATACAGAAAAAAGAAAAGGAAAAAAAAATTGAAATAAAGTTTAAAAAGTTGCATTAATAAAAAGAAAATGAGAAAACCTTAACGATTAAACCTAAATAAATTAAATTTAAACTTAAGCAAGAGACAAACATTTAAAAAGCAAATGAGCCAGCATTAAAAACCAACAACAACAAATTATTATGTTCAATAAAGAAAGCAAAGAAATCTTACACGAAAAAAAAAAGCATTCTCGAGTTTTTATATTCTGTCAGTCTTTCAGCTGAAAGGTAAGTTAGTGCAAATGTTTGCCAACCACGTTGCCGAGCCATTTCCTGTCTTTGATCTATTGTCTGGAAAATATTGAATTCCCGCAACAATTGCACAGACAAACCCAGCCAGACACAGAAAAAAAAAGAAAAACCATACCATCCCATGCCCATTGTGCACGCTCCAATTGAACAACAAGCTGAACGCGTACTCGACTAACAGATGCCCTCTACAAACAGTCTAGAGAGAGCGCTTAATCCACAAGAAACTCACAGACATTCATAGAACTCGCTGCTGTTGGGATTACGTGCGAGTATCCGACTTTAAGGTTGCCCAGGTGACAGGTGTAAAATATATTAAAAAATCCACGAAGACACCTGCTTCTTTTATCTTAACTTAACTATTGCACCAGTTTTTATAGGTTAATTTGATGAAATTAAAGTTCAGATAACAATTTTGCCAAAATCCTATTCCGGATATCAACAAAATTTGATGATTCTTTGAATATCGCGGGTAAATAAAGTCCGAATTTCGAATGATATACCATTTTGGACTCATGCAAATCACGACTAACGTTTGACATACAGAACATTAATTTCCAAATTTTGACAATTTTTCCTAAATTTACCAAGGGATTACATCAGCACTTTTGCCAAAAATTGGTAAATTTAAAAATATAAATAAGTATTCGATTGCAATCCATTCTACAGAGCTGCGCGAGTCAGAAATGCCATATCTTGCGAAGATCGAGCCGCATTTAACCGAGCTTTGCTTAAAGTTATGCTTTAAAGTTTTTGAAAAGTATATAATTTCTTAGATTTTTGCTGCACTTACCGAATTGACAAGGGCTTACATCACAATTTTTCGAAAAATCAGGTCGTTTCTGAAATAAATAATTGTGATTTCAATATTTATTCACATGCCCAAAATATCTTATATCTATCTATCTATCTACCTACCTGCCAATCTATCTATATATATATCTATCCATCTATCTATCTATCTATATATCTATCCATCTATCTATCTATCTATCTATCTATCTATCTATCTATCTATCTATCTATCTACCTATCTGTCTATCTATCTATTTATCTATCTATATCTTTTTAAATTCGTACTTATAGTCATTTAGAGTTTTGAAGAGCTACGAATTTGAATATCCGCTAAAGTCGCTTAAGGTTCTACCGGAGACAGGTACAGAAACCTGATAAGACGCGCATATGGCACGCCTGAATTTTACTTATGTCAATTGCGCTTTAATTCCGTTTGTCATTTTCTACTGGGCAAAGGTATAAGTAAACATATTTGTAAAATATACATATATACTGGCCTCAACTAAATACATTAAGTATACGCATAATTGAACCATTTCTGATTGTGTTTCCTGACAGGATGCTTGTATATGCGAGCATAAAAAGCAGAATATGTTGCTATCAATTATTTTGTACTAAATTGCATAGTTTTTATTGCATTTGAGGCACTTTGAAGCTGTTAGCTCAGTTCATGCTTCGGCTAGCTTGTACACACGAACATATCTACGTATATTTATATGAATGTATATATATACACGACATTAGGTAAGAAGAGACCCACTTTTCTTGTAGCAACTTGCTTAAGCTATATTAAGTATACTTCCAACAATTTTATAAACAGCGCATTTATTTTGTGCCTGCATTCGAATAAAACTCTCAATAAATACAGAAAGTATATTTATACACATATATCGGAGAATACAGGAAATATATCTAGTAGCAACTATTTATATATATATATATAAGAGTTTCATTCGAATGGTATATATCCATATATTTACACCTGATTGGTGCCCCATAAGTTGCTTCCGCTCACTCACATCTCATATAAACAATACGCCCCATTTGCACATTGCTAGTTTACGGGGTATTGAAAAGACAGCGAAACGACGCTCAAGTTAACAGCTTCAACATTGCCCAGCTGTCTAAATACGAAAAATGCATAAAACGCAGCTGTAGCAGCCGCAGCAACAACAACAACAACAACAAACAAAAACAACAACAACAACAACAGCGCCTCAGAGCCCGAGCCCCAGCCTCCGCAACCCTTCGACTTGCCGCTTGTCATCAAAAGTCATATCTGTGAGCATATTATTCGACTGCCGTGCGACTCGCTGTGCTGTGTGTTTTCTGGAGCGTGTAATATCCGCTTCCTGCATTTCCGGTTGGCGCTTTTTGCACAGCGTATACGTAATATTTCCACTAGACGACGACGTCAAGGACGGCGCTAGCAATGGCGACTCTGCCACCAAATTGCTAGCGGAAATGCTGCAAAATTAACGAGCATGCGGCGCAGCAAGCAAACACAAGGAGCAGCCCCCTCACGGAGCTCCGTCGGTGGAGAGTGGCAGAGCGTGAGACGCTGCCCCACTGTTGCCATTAGTTAGGTTGCGCACGGCGCAAAGTAAATGCAAACATTTTTCCAAGCAGCAAATGCAAATTCTCCGTAAGTTTTCTTCTCATCTGCAGCCGAGGTAGCAACTGCAGCAGCAGCGCCAGCGCCAGCAGCGGCAGCGACAGCGGCAGCGACAACAGCTGCAAATTAGATGCATCAGTTAACCGGGAATGAGGGATGATATAAAGCTGCCAAGTGGCGAATGATGAAGCCGAAAGGGCCGCGACTGCCCTTCAACCCTCGACAATCCCAACTTATGCCAGCGCAAAATAACAAATACCAAACATTTAAATAAAACGCAAATGAACAACGTACAGATACCCTCTAACAGCGTCGAGCTGTCGTCTGTGCTGTTAACAGTTCGGACTCCATGACATTCTCAAGGCTCAAATATGGCAGCCAAATGTGTGCATATACCAAAGCGCAAGGCTCTACCCCTTTTTAGATAAATGGGCGGGGATATTCCAAAAGTGAAATGCGGTTGGTCTGTATATGCCATAATAAAGCCTTCATGCTAAAATTGGTGAATAAAGCTCTTATAATCTTAGAGTTATGCAGTAAAGACCATGACTCGATATCGATATTTATCGATATATTGTAAGAATGTGAAGCGATATGGTTGATTGGTTGATGTGTAAGAATATAAATATATGTCAAATTGAATGTATCTAGCCTTTGTAAATTTCGATAGACTACCTAATATATGCTATGATCTGAACCAGAATATTCATATATGCTATATGTTGCCGGAGCACACATTACCCTTTCGTAGCCCTTTTCAATGTTTACAGGGTATAGAAATATTTCACTTTAATTTTACAAAAACTTCATTGGTGCGTGCCGTCGCATATTGAATTCCATGCTGGGCATTTTTTATTGTAATTCGATTATCTCTGAAAAGGCATAAATCTCGCAGCTCGAAATTTCTCCGAAATCAATAAAAGTATTGTCAATCAGCAGCAAACGAAATCTGTTTACGGATAATAAAGAATTCGGAACGCAAGATACATATATATTTGAGATTTAAATGCTTCGCATGTTTTCACAAGAATTCTGTGTACTGTCGCTTGCAACCATTTGTTTTTTATTCGCTCGACTTTCAACATATTTGCAGAATAATTCGAAACGGAATTCGAATGCGGAAATCCGCTTCGCTGGGTGCAAGTCGGCGCTCAAAGTAGTAGGAATAGGTATATTTAAATGCTGTCTCTATGTATGAATTGTCTCTTACAGGAAAGGCAGGCCGAGTTCTTTTGAATACGTCTACCCGCTGTGTTGCAAATTAAAAATAAAGAAATTTTTCACGCCCTGCTATGCGATTCTCATGAATCCAAAAAGGATTTTTTTTTGCTTAAATTATAAGTTTTATAATGATAGGATGGCAAGTCTTAGTGTTGTGCACACTCTACTCTATTTACTTTCTTACTCCATACATTTCCCTTTCTCTTCCTCTTCCTCTTCCTCTTCCTATATCTTATACTTGATTTCTCTGTCCTACTCTTGCTCTAACTGAAACCCACTTTCACCTAAAAAAATGCATGTGTAATTTTTAAATATTTTTTTCTTGTCCCTCTCTCTCTCTCTCTCTCTCTCTCTCTCTCTCTCTCTTTCGCTTTTTCTCTCCATCTCTTTGCCTTTCGCTCTTTCTCTCCGTCGACTTCTTTCTCTCAATTTGTTTCTACTTTTTTCTCCCACTCTTACGCAAATACACTTTCCATTAGAGAAAAAATACATGTCATTTTGAAATATATTTTCCATCTCTTTCTCTCGCTCTCTTTTTGTCTCTCTCTATTTTTTCTACTTCTTCAGTTAATTTAAGCTCATATGTTCGATCTCTTTTTCTCTCTTATCATATTTCTTTTCCATTGATCATATTTTATTTTTCTAACATTCTCCCGCTCTTCCTCAAACCCGCTTTCAGGTTTTTCTTTCACTCTCTCTCTTTCTCTTTCTCTCCCTTCCTTTGCCTCTCGCTGCCTGTATATCTTTTAAATTCCTTCAGTTAACTTGCGATCAAATAGTCGTGTACTTTCAGGCATATCTCTTGTAATACCCAGCTTAATTTAATCTTAAGAACTGCTGCCAGTTTCTTAATGAAAACTACTTAAGCCAATTCGTGCTTCCCGTCGAGCCACTTCACCACAAACTAGCCACCATTCTAATTAGCTACTCAGATATCTCCGATTTGCACTCGTATGCAAATCCATTGAAGCGTTGTCGTCTGGTCAGAGGCCAACGTTCAACGCTCAACCACCGCCCATTTAAGCTCTTCAGTTCTCCAGCAGCTCATTTGTCTCTCTGTCTGCTGCTCCTGCTCCTGCTCCTTCTGCTGCTACTGGTCTTGCTGCACGCCGTTATCGTGTGTTGCGCCGTGTGGCATCATCTTTGGATAGTGTTGAAAAGTGTGCTATGTCGCGCACACATGGCACATAATTGAGTGACAACGCGGTTGCAGCATTTGCCATGTCCACACTGAGAGAGGTTGACATGGGGATTGTGGGCGTGGACAGGGGTAGCTCGAGAGGCCAACGTTGACGCACAGCAGCGAATTTGAATTTGTAATGAGATTACACCCATACACAGACACGGTCACATATATATATATATAGCCTCTGTCAGGTCATGCCAAATGAAATGAAATGTGTCCCCGCAAGTGAATGGCAAGAGAGAGTTGGGATGCGGCACGTTGCATCTAGTCCAAATGCAGCGCCCAGCGAATTTCCAACTGTTAATTGTGACCATAATTAAGGTGACCTGCAAGAGCCACACACCGAGACGGGCTTCATTTCACTTATGCCGAACCGAACCGAACCGAACCGAAACGAGCTGTGAACGCGATGTCAGGCTGGGCAGCTGCTTTTATAGGCAGGAATTATGGCAGTTCACATGCCAGGCATCAGGCGTATGGCTTATTTAGTTACGTTGACAAAAGCCGTTCATATGCTGACTGAACCACTGGCGAGCCAGCTGTGAACTGGTTCACAGCTCATTGACTAAAGCTAACTTTATGCCCAACAGCTTTTATAGAGAACGGCTTAGAGGTTTAATATGCGAACATTTATCCCCCGAGCAATATTACCTTGCGTTGAACCATTTCAAGAGGCTATCTTAAGCACTACTGATCCGGCTTACAGATCAAAAACGCGATTGAACTTAAATGTCCAAATCGTAGGAGCAGTAGGAAGTCAGAATGGCAAAGACAGTTGTTTGAAATGAATTGATTACTCCACTCGATTATTGAATGCGCTCGATACCTCTGTAGTTTTCTGTAGCTATTAACAAAGTTTTTTAACTATTATTCGAATTCGATAAATTATATGTATATATATATATATATATATATATATATATAAGGAACAGAGCATATATATTTATATACACTTGCGGAGCAATCAACAATGGAATTCCTATGTAAATATTTATAGTCTTTACTGCTTGCAGTGTTTTCTCAAAGGATTCTGCACAAAGAAGCAACCTTTAATATTTATATATTTAATATTTTGCAAATATTTTGCCTTGGCACGCTCAGACAGGCGTCCTATCCACATTCCATTTCTTGGCAGTGTCAAATTCTCAGGCTTTTCATTCATTTGTAAAATTCACACAAGAACGAAACAGACAAAAACAAATCAAATGTGAAGAATGTGAAGTAGAAACACTTTTTAAGATTTACCGGCAATCGTGAAGACAAGCACTAAACGCAGTTTTAGTGGATACCCAACCAAAGTTTGTCATAAAGTTGGTTGAAAAAAATATTTAAAAAAATGGGAAATTGCGGCGCTGTTAAACCAATGTGAATGGCTGAACATGAACCAGTTCAATGAGCGTCAAAAGTAAAGTTGATTCGAAATGCAAATGAATCAATAGCCGATTTATTGAAGCTATTGATCAAACATGTATCTCTGAACCATCATGGAACCAATTCGAAATTTGTCATTAAATATTTCAATCGATTCAAATGCCTTTTGACTCGTTTCAACTGAACCGAAATGATTCATGTTTATATACATTATAAAGCAATTTGTACAACTAAAGAAATATCAGTTAGCCAATGTTGCACCAAAAGCAACTTTGTTATGAGCCGTTTTGCATACGAAAAGCTGCTTTTCTAACACAATAGATTGTTACTGGAGCTCTTATAGTTGAACCACTCTGCCTCCAGCCAGCTGCGAGGCGGCGCACTTGAAGTTAACTTTTGATAACGCTAGACAAGATGGTTTGCTTTGCCGTTTTATGCACTGGAACTTTTGGTACTCTCTGTTGCCAAGCAAAGCTAACGAATCGCTTGAGTTGGCTTTGCCGAAACGGATGCGTGCGGTCCTTTGCTTGGGCGCCTCTGCTGAGTCTTTGCGTTCCTTTCATTTGCGTGTCGCCTTTGGGTCACTGTGTGAGCTGCCAGGGCAAAGAGAGCAGTCACATTCGCATGGCACACACAAGCACACAGACACACATATGCAAAGTCAGGTGTGTGTGCGCGAGTGTGTATCTGGCTGACTGACTGACTAAAAAGGTGGAATAAGGCGGAAGGGGTTGGCTGGAGGGGGGCTGAGGCTACGATGGGATGCGGATTTTAATCAACTTGGGCACAACCACAAACGTGCTCACAAACACACACACACACACACACACACACACAGACAAAAGGCGGCTCAAATCGTCAGCATATTACATATGCATGCTCATGCGTGTGTGTGTGTGTGTGTATGTGTGTGTGTGGTACCTACAGCTTTAAGGCTGCGGCTGTCCCACAGACGCGTCCAAAAGTTGCACGACATCAACAACCCTTTCAAATCTGTGCAAATATTTATTGTGCATGCTGCTGGCACAGGCAACACTGGCAAAGCGTCAACTCGCTCCAAAAGAGAATTTATTTAAATTGAAAAGAAAAGAAAACATTTATAAAGCCTTGCATGATTACAACTAAAAGCCTTATTTCACAGTGGTTAGAAGCTCGAAAGCAGGCGACAATTCACTTGTGGAAATATTCCATCAAAAAGATTACAAATAAATCAATATGAAATTATCATTAGAACGAGCTTAAACTCATTTCCGATAGCTCATAAATTTATTGGTCGTGTGTTTTCAATGATTTTGGTAAACTCACTTCCTTACTCAAGGCAAATATTTCATTCCAATGTGGCGAAAATGTGTGAACATGAAAATTGTAAAGATTTCATGACATGCCCATGGTCCAGGCAGAGTCCAAAATGAAATGCCTGCACTTGTCAATTATACTATTATATAACAATAGTTAAGCTCTGGCGAATTGTGCAAACAATGTCGCACATTAATGAGTGTACACTGTAGCGTAATCATGCAAACAGTCGCACAACTTGCAACTTTTTGCTGCTTAACCCCTTCGCATACCATAAAAGAATATTTGATGATGCGACCCAGTGATGTGGCCCCCCCTGCGCCAGGCTGCATTTGCTCCATTAACACACACACACACACACACAGACACACAGACACACACACAGACACACACGTAAGCTCACACTCGCACACAAATTGCATTAACACATTCGAAATGTTGATGATTATCCTTCTGAGCTGCTGCTGCTGCAACCCGAGAGCTGCCTCGCGTTGCAGTTTGACGAACTTTGTTGCACGATAAATAATGCAATTTGTAATTAAGTCAGTCAACCAAGTCAAGTGGGCGTCCAGAGGGGCGTGGCAGCTGTTTGTAATTAGAAACCATTTGACAAGCGATGAGCAGCAACAACAACAACAACATCAAGCGGGCGGATAAAAAACGAAAGCAAATAAAAAGCGAACGCAGGGAAAAATGAAAAGAAAAAATATGTGCGCAGCTTAATTGAAAAGCGAACTAAACACCTTTGTGTGTGTACGGGTGTGTATGTGTGTGTGCGAGTGTTTGTGTGTGTGTGTGCGAGTGTCGCAATGTTTGAGAGATTTAATATGCGGCAATGTTAATTAAAGCAAATTAGGTTAACCGCACAAGGGGCGGGCGACAAGCGGGCGGGTTCTTAAGAGCCAAGCAACAATGCAAATTATGCGTATTTCGAGTCACACACACCCACGCAAACACACGCACACACATGCACAACCACGCACACACCAACCATTTTAGGCTTTCAATTAGCTTTTAGCCAGAGAGATAGTGTGTCAATAATTGAAAGTGTTTAACTACAGTTTAATGAAAAGCACAAAAGTCAAATGGCATTATGCAGAGCAAGAATATGCTTTAAGAATGGCTTTTACCTTGCGAATTCGGCGGCATGCTATTAGCAAGGGCACAGCTTTTATTGCTTATCGCCTAGAAGAGGCCATGGCGATAGCTGAGAAGCGAGTTAAAAAACTGAGAGTTTGCAAAAAGAAAGGGGATAAAAGTAAAGCACTCTTATCAATAGACTTAGCAGTGCCTTCAATCTTAAGCCTTATTTCCTGCAGGTTGTCCTCTTTTAACCATTTAACAACATGCAATTAAATACAATTAAATCCAAAGTTTTGGTCTAGATATCGTTAAAACATTGTTCAAGCAAAATCTTATTATCCGACTGATCATTAATATTGCCACTTTCTATAATAATACTTACTATTTGATTACATTTGATCGCTTTCCACATATAAGCTTTTTTAACAGCGAGACACACCCCTACCAGGCAGACAGACAGTTGAACCTGGCTATAACGACTCGGCTGCTGCTACTGATCAAGCATATGTATGCTATGCGGCTTCGGAGCCGTCTTCTGCCAAACGAACAACATTTTCAAACATTCTACGGGGTAAAACATGAATAGCATCGCCTTTGTACCAGCCTAAGCGATAATGTGGCGATAACACATTCCGCCAGAGCACAATATTTATGTCATGTTTAATATAATATAAATATATAATACCTGAATATCTCTGTTCCACAAAGCAAGGCAAAAATGCGGCTATGAGCATTGAAAACTGTCGTAAATCTTTCTTCCAGGCGGTAAAGCTGTAAACGAAACGCTGGTCCACAATCCAAAATGTGTATCTTCCATTGGTGGACATAAAGGAGGCATTATCCAGCGCAATCTTGTCTTCTGCAAATAAAATAAGTTCAAGCAAACTAAATAAATCTAAGGAAAATATCATAGCATACTTTTTTGGGCGGCTGTCGTCGACCACAAAAGGACGGCAGCACGAGAGCGTGTGAGCGTGTGTGTGTGTGAGTGTATGAGTGTGTGTGTGTGTCATTTGTTGCAGCTTATGGCTTAATGCAACTGCTAGTCAGCCGCAGAGCAGCCCCGCCAACCCCTCTCCGCACACCAAGTACGTCGAGTAACTTGACTATTACGCAATTGTAAACGCATTTGCGAGAATTAATTTTTCGCATTGTGTGCCTCGCCTGTGCCTGGCCATGCCACGCCCCCTAGACACCATATATACTCTCTCTCTATCTCCCTCTCTCTCTCTCTCTCTCTCTCTCACTCGCTTTGTCACACTTTGGCGCTAGCAGCTGTTCATTCATGGAAAACAATGAATGTAGTAAGCGAAAGGCAAAAAAAAACAAAAGAAGAAGTCATTCTTTTAAAAAACAGTGTGGTATGTTTTATACATATAGTTGTTTGTGTGTGTGTGTGTGTGTGTGCGTGTGTGTGTGCCGGACACTGCACTTTGTTTGCACAGCGGTCGCAGCTGCTTTCGTAATACGCACAAAAAGAAACTGCACGAAATAAAAGCGAACAAAATAAAACTCTGCCAAAGGAATTACGACTGAGAGATATAAGAATAGCTCTGGGTTAAATTAAAAAAAAAAAAAAAACCATCAACAATGAATGGCACGCCGAAGATTAAATACCCTAAATACCTTACTTAGCAGATATTCGCAGAGCATTCTGCCGCTGGCAATTGCAGAGTCCGGCGTGGATATATTTAAGGACACAAAACGATTTTGACTTTGGAGCATAGCATAATAGTTATCCGATTTGGATATGAATTTGCTTACACAATTGTAAAACTTGTGAGTGTCAAATTTGAATAGCCAAATACTCTTTCACACATGAAGTAAATCGCTTACCCCCCATCTGGCCGATTCCAGCAACATATTGCTATAGCTTTAAGACTGAGCGACATGGCTATATGAAGGACATATATGGGCTTTATCTGATCGGAGCTGTCTTCCTCAAAGCGTGACACATTTCGTGACAAAATAGTCAACAAATGAGTTGAGAAAGATAAAAGAAAAACTTTATTTGGCGCGAACCAGTTCCCTGCAATGGTTCGGCAACTTGTTTTTCTTGGTTTGTTAAATTTTTCAAAATTTGAATAAAATCAAATTAAAAGTGCAATCGTCCGTTCTGCTGAAAGCTTTGCTACACATTTTAATCCGGAATTGGCATTCGCCAAATATGATTAAATAAATGAAAAGGGGCGAAGATATGAATGCCTCGAGCCTGGGTCTGTCCGGAATGTTTCTGCAGTTGAACCAGCAGCTATTTAAAGCAGAAATTGTTCAGCTTGGGTGGCGTTGCGACTGTGTTTGTTGGGCTGCTTCGGCTTAAGGTGCGAGTCTGGGTAAAAATACATTGGAATTCCGAACTTGAACCGGTTCGTTTAACAGGAAGCTGAGTTCTTTTCGCGCTCTTAATTGTGCTGCATCAAAAATATGTGGAACTCCAAAATAGCTTGTAGTTTTCGCAGCTCTATTTGTCTATTTACTTGCCCATTTCCTGGAAACTTGACTTGGTAATTCCATCCAGTCCATATCCAGATTTTTCTCTTTTTCCTCTTTCTCTCTATGCCATTTCCCCTTGCCAGCATTCATTTCCCTACGCTTTTCTTTCATTTGTACGCCTTTCAATCTGTCTTCAGCTCTTTTCCGTTCTCTTTGTTCTTTCCTTATCGCTTCAATCCTCTGCTTCTGTGTGCTGCTGCAGACAAAAGAGTCCATTTGGCAAATCCACTGCTGCGGCAGTAGCTAACTACTTAATGCGTGGTATCTACGTGTCGTTCAATTGTTTTCGTGTTGTTCTCTGTTTTTGTTTTTACCGCATTTAAAGAAAGCACAGCCAAACAAAGCGTCTGATATTGCCGACCAGGCCAGCTGCCGACCGCAATCGTTCAGCACACGACACGACCCCTCCCCCCCACCCCCCCACCCGCTCGCCACCTGTTCCGGCAGAACGGCTGGACTATTGCGGTTACCAGTGGAGGCTACGGATTCGTTATGGTATTTCGATTCTGAATGCAGCGCGGGCACAAAAAGCATTTTCATTGCATTTGGCGTAAACCAAAGAAATTAGTTGGTGGGCAGGGACGGGAAGGTGTTGGTAATGGTGAGCCGGGTATTGTAGCGAAATAAGCGGGAACGCGCGACAGCATAAATTCTTGTACAGGTGCCAGCTGCCCGCAGGATATTGCCAGGATGAGCGGGCAATGGGCAGCTGCTTTGATGGCGGCCGGGCAGCCGCCAGCCCTGTTGCCAGTTTTTGGGCTTGTGAGCGACACATTTCAAGCCAAATATTTAAGCAGAGTGAAACAGTGAGAGCGAGAGTGCGAGAGAGCGAGAGAGTGGGAGAGAGAGAGAGAGAGCGAGGCAGACAGTGTCATATGTAGCTGCATGCACACACGCATCACGGATACGGAAACGGAAACGTCACTTTGTGGTCAACAGCAGCAGCTACACACACACACACACACACACACACACACGAGCACACATGCACGCACACTAGCATTTAGCGCATGCTTTACGCCCCGCACGGTGGCACGTTTCATTCAATTTATTTGCGATTTCCCGTTTCAATTCGTTTCGGCCGCCAATTACACAACATGGCAACCCTGGCGCATAGCTTGTCAAATTTTTGGGCAGCTCGGCAGGCAAATGTGGCAGCAGCCCGTATCCGGAAATCTCTATTTAAAGCCTTTAACACGAAAGTACCCAGGACCCGCTCCAAAAAAAAATCAGCAGAATAATCAAACGGAACATGGTGTCCGGCGGAGACGGTGGTCGCTGCACGGGGTGCTTGGGTTTAGGGGCGCGGCAATGGGACACAGACACAGCCTGCGGCATATTGGCAGCAGCAGCAGCAGCAGCAGCAGAAGAATCATTAGCATATTGACATGTGGCCAAATTTGGTCACGTTCCATTTCATTTTCGATTCATTTTCGATTCATTTTGCGAAAGGGAGCTGCGAATCAATTTTCATTCATTGTCTTCCGGCAACTGCTGTCTTTGTGCGTTTGAGATAGAGAATAGTGTGTGTGCCAGCTGTAGAGTATACAAACAAGTTGATAAGTCAACTCTCATACACACACACACACAGGCACACTCGCACACAGTAAAAGGCGAGGCAGAATTGAAAGCGCAGCCGACAAAACTTAAAGTTCAAAAGAATAGAAAAACTGCTTACGAAACTAATTGTCTGCAAAGTAGTAAGTGGCACACACACACACACACATATACACACACACTTTCTAGCACACTGTAAATGCCAGCAGGATGCGGATGCGAGTGCGGACGCCGCGTTCCGTCTCCGCATATGCCACACATGACGAATCCCAATACACTGCGCAAAAATGTGCTGCAGCTTATGGAAAATGCAAGAGCCTACAACAAATACTCTAATATTTAGCAGCAAAGCAGCGAGGGGCAGTTTCTGCCTTTGAGGCAGAATTATAGTGTGCACAATAATTTGTAAGAAATTTTGCACAGTGTATCTGTCAACACCAACAGAAAGAAAGATAGAGAAAGAAAGGGAGAACGGTCAGGAGGCCGAATAGGCATTTGATATACTCTCGCCTGGTCTCAAGGCGTGGCTCAGTGTCAGCGCAAAACGCTAACAAGACCGCATGTATTAGTAAACGGCTGCCCGACTGACTGATATCCTGTAGGGAAAGCCAAAATACAAAGCGTAAATGTATGCGTTAAAATTCTTATATAAAGGAAATGTATGCAAGACTAGCGTCAGTTGAAAAAGCTCGACCAGCACATACTCCGTAGACAGCTCGGCAGCCAAGAACAAAATATCTGTAAGGCAATTGTGATAAAGCTAGACGAGCGTAAGATACCGTAGATTGGAACTGGCAGATACCGTTAAAATACAAATATCTGTATGGCAAGTCCGATTAGGCCAGATACCCTGCAGCCAGATGAAAAGAAAGCGCGAACAAGAAATATATATAATATATGGATGTACACGAATTGTAATGTGAGTACCAAAAAGCAAAGGTTAACTCTTAGTTTTGCAACATTTCCTGGAAGTACGGGGTATATAAAATTGTTTGCGCTTGTTTGTTTTTGTCAGCTCTTGAGTTATTCAGCAGCAGCGGCAGCGGCAGCGGCAGCCACTGTTGCAGCCAACTCAAACAAGCCGAGCACTCAGCGGATTTAACAGCGGCTTCAGCCCTAGCTGTATGTGTGTGTCTCTCTCTCTTTCTCTCTTTGTGTCTCACTCTGTGTATGTGTGTGTGTGTGTGTGTGTCATGCTGTTTGGCTGAGCCTTGCAATCGCCAACTAAAGTATACACAGAGCATTGCCTTTGACAGGCTTTGCAACTGCCAGCTTGGCTCCTCTGCAAACCAATCAGCACCCCCCCCCCCTCACCCCCCCTACCAACACTTACCCCCTCTAGCGTCTTGGGAGCATTTGCAATCGTCTCCTTTGTCAGCCGATAAAAGTTGAAGTTGTGTGTTTCAACGTCTTCAATAACTTTTGTGGCGCCCGCCACCTTCGGCCACCTTCACCCCCTTGCAAGCGCCTCATTCCACGCCAACTATCTTCTGGCCAGGGGCAGTTGCTCCATTTTTTTTTCCTTTTAGTTCTTTTATTATATTTGCACTTTTTATTGTCTTCAGCAGCAACTTTGAAAAGGCCCCCAACTTGGCACGAAATAATATTTGCATAATGCCAAACAGACAAACTGCAGTTCAAAACAAGTAAGAGTTATCTAGCGGTAAGTGTCCGACTTGCAGATACCCTGTAGCCAGCGTTCTTCTTGTGAACAGTAGCTGTGCTTAATTATTTATTTAATTTGATATAGAATATGTTTAGTATTAAAAGTTGGCAACCTAACCGGTTTCAGCTTGGAATGCCAATAAC